ACATGATTAACAAAAACTTTAAATTTGGTTTTACTTTAGTTGATTAGTTTAAGTAGTTTTATTTTTTATTAAGAAAACAATGTCAGAATTCTCTTTCACTTGCTTCTTAAATATGAATATTTTCTGGTTTCTTTACTCCTCCATGGCAGTAAACTGAATATCTTAGGGGTGTGGACAGAACAAAACATTTGAGGACATCATCTTTTTTGACATTTTATAGACCAAACAACTAATCAATTATTCAAGAGAATAACCAACAATGAAAATAATATCTGTTCTCCTGCGATTGGGTTTATAGCCAGACTCTGTAGACCAAGTTCCTGTGAATGAAAATACAATCAAATAATAAAGCAAACTTTAAAAGGGAGTTTTAAATGTAACCCTTAAGAGCCAATTACCTGACCGCTGTTATCAACTTTGTCTGACATGATTTTCCAAAGTCTGTCTGCATGTGTCTAGTTTCTATGAAATGTGTTCAAATATTTCTGTGTGCATTTTTAAGCATCGTGAATTGGTGTTAGATAGGACCTTGGGGTCAGTTGCTCATTTTGACTACTCTTTAGTTGCCTTATACCTGCTGTTTTATTTCTGTGCTAATGCTGTTCTTAATTAGCCATTGGAAACCAGATGCTCTGCGAATAATTAATCTCACACCAGATGTAAATACTGTTAAGACAGTTTTGATGGTTTCTGTAGAGCCATAAAGCGTTGATTTGCATGTTTCCATATTTACTCTTTCAAGTGGTACTTGTTGAAGTTGGCTGACCCTCTGATATTTCTTCTATTGGTTATTTGATAGTTGCAAAGATACCATGCACATGTTTATCACCCTCCTTGGTAACACTTAAACCCCTCCATCTATCATTTAACTTACTACATGCAGTATATAATGTATAATCAGAGGCGTTTTGAGGTGGAAAGACATGGGCAACATCTACTTTCGGCAGATGTAAAACCAGAAAATTACGTTAACGTTACACAATTTGACACACAGATGATGCGCTATTTCACATTTCCCACACAGTTTAACATAGGTGATAATAAGACTGAGCGCATACCTGTTCTCCTCAACCGGTGTTTCACTGCTCAATCGCCCGTTTATGTGCGCTGTCAGATTGGGTAACTTAGCTGTGTTAGCTCTGACGACTTCATTTGACAGTTTTGTCCTGCTGCTTTCATGTTTGGTAATCCACTCAGAAAGATGCTTGGGATCCCGAAAGTCTGTTCTTGACCAGGCACCATCCTCTCCGACTAATAAAGCACACGGGAAACAAAAAAAGCGACTTCTCCACCAAGCTAGCAGTTAGCCATTTTGTTCCCGGAGAACCACTCCACGTTAAAGCTGACTATTTTTAGCAGAGGCTTGGTTTATAACAAAATTCCCGCGACTGAAGCATTTTAAGCACATTTAATTTAATGCTACGGAGGATAAAGTTGATTTAAACCGCACTTTCCGTCTTATTTAAATGAAATACGAACTTTTGACAGCTACGAACAAGTGAAGACAACGGACAGCTACATGCGCATGCGCATTGGTATTCCACACTCCCGGCATTTGACGTTGCGGCTGCGACCAAATGAAATGTCCACCATGGGAGAGGACTCTCATTCAAACCAGCAACCGCGGACTTTTTAATATCATGCTGTATTTCAGGATTATATCAATTTCTATATTACTCAGTAGCTGTAAACCACACGTGTTTTCTACTGCCACCAGGTGGAGCTATGCCGACAAGAATGGATACACAATGGGTGCTTCTCAAAGTCAAGGATGCTTCCTCGGTAGGATGGCTTCTTCCAAGTCTGGTCCTACAGAGGCTAGGTAAGACTCCTTCCTAGCATTCAGTGAACACACATTGTAACAGAAGATGAAGACAGCAAATTGTGCACAAAAAATTGTGAGTAGCCTACGTCTTTTGAACCACACATGAATGCTTGAAAATTCTCTGAAGAAAGGACTCTGTCCTCACATTCGAAGGATCCTTGACATTGGACCAGTACGGTGGTATTTGATGACATAGCCTCCTTGAAATTCAGCCATTTAGCACCAAGTGTTTATCACTATATATTCAATGATTAGGGTATAACTTTGTCAATGAGGCACCTATAACTAGTGTATAAACAGTTAATGAGTGATTGACAGCACATAATCATTTTAGATAGGGGAGACTGGGGTTGGTTGGCAAACTTTTATCTCTTACATATTTCTCTGGCATAATTTACATCAGAATATTCTAACAGGCAGCAAATGAAAGTAAAGTCTCGGCTGTAAATAAATAAGAATTGTTTTCTAAAATTAGATGATATGTATTTAGTCATCTTCTGCACTTGTGCCAACCCGCTTCATCGCAGAGTTAATTGGCACATTGTTGAAATGCTATGGTTACAAAAACAATGAAGCAATCAATAAAAACAATTCGAACATTTATTTAAAGACGAACCAGAAAACGTGAATATTTAATAGAATATCGGTCAATTTTTAAAAGTCTGCACCCTGTCCAGGGTGTACCATGCCTCTGTCCCAGTGTCAGCTGGGATAGGCTCCAGCACCCCTGTCACCCCCAACAAGATAAGTGGTTACAGAAAATGAATGAATGAATGAATTACCTAACACAGTTTTGTAATACGTTTAGTCCACTTACCATTTTCTGACTTTTGATACTAAAACTGAAATGTTACCCTCACTGAAAAAGTCAGTGACTTTCAGATGGTTTAATATGGCGTAGTGAGTGCAGGTGAAGAAAGCAAACATTTCGATGTTACATAAATTGTTCTGTGACCTTCTAGGGACCAGAAAATAGCTGTGTGCCAACAAAACCTGGTCTCCCCTACAATGTGTTATAAAAAATGTGTGAAAATGTGTAAAAAAAAAATGTGTTTAAACTATGGTTTAGAATTCACTGAAATAAAGCTGGAAGCTTCACACGTGACTTCTGAAATAGTTTTTAAAAAAAATTTAACTCAAGGATCACTTACTGCAGTTCTTCTGGAGCTTTCAGACACGTCACTGCCTTCGCCAGCAGAGTGAGTTTGCTCTGTTGTCATGAAAATATTTGTCTATCCATCAGTTACAGATGCTTCACAGAGAGAAAAATGTATTAATAAACACCTGAAAATATCAATAATATGCTTCTAACTACATTATGGTGATTACTGTGTACCTTAAACCACTGATTAATTCTTTACACACATACATATGCTAATGAATAAATAATCCGGGTTTAAAATGACTTGTTACAATTTCATGCCCGATTGAAATATTTAAATTCTTCCAATAAAATATGATTTAGTAGGATATGATATGTTTTGATCTATTTTAAGAAGCCATTTAATGTTTTCAGAATGCAAGTCTCAATTCATTTCCCCTTGCATCCCTACAATAAAATGATTGAGAGCTAGTAGATTAATTGATTTACCTATTTACTACATACATGCTTTAATTTAAAAAAAGAAAAGTAAACTCAGCCAACACAATGCATCAAATATTAGTGAATCAACTGTTTAAATATCAATGTTCAAATGTCCTTGGATTATAAAATATTGAGGTTTTAGGAGGAGGACAACACTGATAGTTTTGAGTAAATATGCTAAATTGACTTTTATGAACTTGTGTGTGGTTCTCTGACCTCCGTGGCATTTACTGTATTGTCCTACAAGGCAAATTCCAGCCATCTGGTACTCCGGGCAAGTTCAAGCAAATGTTAAGATGCACCGTATTTGCAACTATTATCTGCCCTCTGCTCTACTGCAACACATAATTTCACCCTATTCCCCTGACATGACAACAAAAAAAAAGAGCTTCATATGTCACGTCTCATGCTCAAAGTGCTGCGGAATTACATTTATGTCATTTGAAAGACAGACAAACAACATCTCTACTGAAACATCACACACATCATCATACACTACAGCAGTGGCAGATGTATAGAAGCATAATTATACAAAGAAATTGCAGTTATTTATGTTTCAAAGGCACCAGTTCAAACACTCGTCATCCCCCCACAACCTCCTGCTGTTATTGCTGCTGCTGTTGTTGTTCCTGCTGTTTGTGTTGCTGCTGCTGCTGCTGCTCCATTCGCCGTCGCTGTTAGTTCTGGTTCTCAGCTTGCTCCTGCACCTTTGCGTTCTTCATTTGCGACCAAATTCACAGCCAGCTGTTAATTTACAGATCGGAAAAACAAGAGCAGGAGTGAAATATTACCTAATCTCTTGGGTGGGGTCATTTTTTCCTCTCGTTGTGAGGTTTGAAAAGGTGCTGATGAGGCATAAAGCATCCTCAGAGCATACTGTCAATCTCTACTAAAGTCCACCATGCAAACTTATAAAAATCATAAGAAATACTAAGTTCAACCACCAATGTAAAATGAGAGCATCTTGAGGACCTCATCTAATTGCTGATGCATTACTGGCCTCTAGTGGTGAACAGTAATATGAGTGTAATAAATTGAGTAAACAGTAATAATGCTGAAATAGAGGCTCTCAGGCAATATGGTGATGCTCACTGTAAGTAAATTATATGACACTCGACAAGGCCAGTGTTTATAAAGTCACTTCAACATTGACTTAACTCAGTGCTAAGGACTGTTGCTTCTAATGAGGGTAATCACCTCAGCAGAATTCCACTCATTTCCATCAGATAATTACACATTAGAGTCACATGAGAATGAGGGCGGAGAGATAAATTCAGTGATTGGAAATCCAGTCAAAATAACCATCAGTCTCAGACCAGCGCCTCCTGAGATCTACAGTATTGTGGTAGAGTTCAAAATAAAGTAAAATAAAACCAGAATAAATATGTGGCTGTGGGTCCTCAAAATGAATATTTCATGCGTAATGTAAGATGGAACGCATACATAGGCAGCTACAGACAAAAGACATGCGTGTTAATCAAATGTGACCTGGAGGTCACTTAAATTGGCGACTGAATTAAAACAATTTTCTCTGGCTGAAAAGAATGAAACAATGAAGCCCACCCATAGTTTAAATTAAAAGACAATCAGTGGTGATTACAGCACAGCAACTTTATTCATGACATACAGTGAAAGACTGGAACTTGTTCCTCTTGCACTCATTTTGAAATGCACTTGGATATTCTCATTTCTTCTGCACTGGAGCGTCGTCCCTCTCCGCTGGGAATATTTCAATTTCCTTGATGATCCGCTTCGCAATAACTTCGTTGTTTGCTGAAACCATCCTTCGAGACATCAAATCGAACTCTCCCCCTGAATTGTCAAACAAAGCCTTTATTAAGAGGGGTTTAAACAAATTACAAATCCTGCTTTTATTACTTATTACCTTCTCATTCATTTATTTTAATTTGTAAGACTTTGCATTCAGTTCAATGCTACATAATGACTTGATGCTCTGTGACCAGATTTGAAAGTGTACACACCATCGACATCCAGTAGTATTCCTCCAGCTTCTTTGACTATAACCGCTCCAGCAGCGATGTCCCAGCAGTGGATCCCAATCTCAAAGAAGGCCTCCACTGCTCCGATCGCCACCAGACACATGTTGGTGGCAGCTGTCCCTGACCCACGGAGCCTGGCAGGACACAGTTGGAGATGAATGAATACAAGTATACAAGTACGCTACACTGCCCTATAAAGGCTGCAAACATTAAAGATGTGGGGTAGTAAGGAAAAAAAGTCTTTAAAATGCCAATACAAAAATTCAAAATGCAGCTCTCTGACTTTTGATAAAGCAGGAAAAATGTAGTATCAAAGGAAATGTTTTAATATTTAGTGAAGGCATGCCAAGCCATGTGGGATGGGGGCGCCATCTCGTGAAGTACTCACTCTGTCATCTCTATTACCAAAGAGTATTCACTCAGTCCAAAAATGCAACACGTTCTCATCCCAACTCATTAAATATTGACGCTCTGCCTGTGGACTTCAACATCTACCTATGACACACTAGGTATCCTAATATATCTGTTGCTGACGTTTTGGGACCCCATTGTCAATTAACGCTTGTTACATACATTGCTTGTACATGCAGCACACAAGGAAATGTACAGTTTCAGCTTGTAAGATGCATGCAGTCTTTTGAAAATAAACTTGCAACATAGGCAAAACAGCTCGTATTTACGTTCATTTCCTTGTTCAACAAAATCACGTGGTTAAGTTTAGAAAAAAAACACCATGGTTTGGCTCAACATTCACACAGGAAGCAAACAGCAAGCTCCTGAGTGAAAGTCCAGTGTTTGTGGGATGCATCCAACTCCCCTCCCACTCACCCTATAGAGACTTTTCAGCTGCTTATATTACATTGTTACTGGTGGTGTTACAAACTGCCACTGGCTGGCAATCCAGAGAAAGCCTGTGACGACCAACATTAACAACGCCACATCCCAGTGCATCTGATACTGCTGCAAAAGGTGCCGCTTGTTGGTATCTCATGCCCAGATCACTGATAAAGCAATGGTATCTGATGAGTTTGGAATGATAAAGGGCTGAAAAACGACAGTTGCAATGTTAAGGTATGTTGTTTCTCATAACTAGTTTGTCCATGGCATGACATCAGCTTCACAGTCTCTATTTGCAGTATGTAGCAATGTAGCTGTGTCTAGTATTTATATTTAAATCAATATAATGAAATTCGTGTTAATAAGTAATAACAACACAAAATTGCACAAATTCTGTAGTTAATGCCACCCTGCTAAGTTAGCTTTAGTATAGGTCTCTGTTGCGAATGGATGTAGTTACGCTAAAGCCTCATTTAATAATGTGGAACAACAAACCTAATTACCAAGAATCCATTTATTAGAACAGATTTTTACACTTACAGCTAGGGAAACAGATATCAATATTAGAAAATTAGCATTTTTATCAACAGGCCATAGGAAATAAATGAAGCCTGTTTTTCTAGGTATCTCTATTTGGCAAATATTCATATTTTAATAAATATAATAAATTAATTTACAATGTCCCATACAGAAAATGTGATTTCAAGGTAGCTTATCCACACCGGATTGCATTTATTCTACTGGTGTCAATTCCAAAGATGGCTTGATAGTCTGCTAAGATACAGTAGTTAGCTTTAGCAGGTGTTTGGCTAGCAGGATTTTTTTCCTCTTTTGCGAATCGATTAAGTTACGCTCATTTAATTATGTGGAACAACAAACTCAGCATTTAATAGTATTAGAACATAAACTCTATTTTGATCATTAACAGACCATAGTTTGTGTCACTAAATAAACATAGCCTGTTTTGCTAGGTATCTCTGTCTGGCTTTATCATATTTAAATCAATATAATAAATTCATTTATAATTAAAGAATAAAAACCAATTACAAAGTGAATTAAACACATGATTTAAAGGTATCTAACCACACACATTTGCATTTATTCTCCTGTTGTCGATAGCCGAGATGTCTTGATACTATGATAGTTAGCTTAAGCGGGAGTGCAGCTTGGTTTTTTATGTCTATCATGACTGGCTGTAGCCTTATTCATTTTATATAAAACTCAATTACCAACAAGATTTATCAAAATGGATGTTTTTGAGTACAGATAATTAGGGAAAAAGCAATAAGCACATTTAATTTTTAGCTTTAGCTACAGCTAGCCGTGTCTGTCTCTGCAGCTAGCTTTCACTTCACAGGCTGCAGCTCTCTTGCTTTAGCTGTGTGGTTGGCTGTTTCTCTCTAGAAGAAACAATGTCTTCAAGAGGCAGGAGACTATAAAACCTCGGGAGAGTTACTGTGGTTTGGCTTGGTTTTATCAGCCTTTTGCTTTCACTGCATATTTTACATGCGTTTGACAAGAAATTACACATCTCCAAGGCATTATCACATTTAATATAAAACAAATGCCAAAAAAATCAGATTCCAGTCCATTCTCAAGTTCAACAACAACAATAAAATGGTTGTTCATTTTTGGCTTTGTAGGGTAACACACAACATAATAATGATCAGTGTACGTGGAGACAACTCACCCATGCACTGGGATGCAGAGAATCTTCTGCATGGTGTTGAAGATCTTGGTTACTTTTTCTTTGCTCCTGTCAGTCCCATGCTCAGAGATGATAATGGACTTGTGGATATCTGCAATGACAGCATGCCAAAGGGGTTACTGCTATATTTGATTACAAGTTTGACAGTGACTGTAAAGGCACATAGACAAACACTCACATTCACAATAACAGTCAAGTGTCCTTCAGATTAAATGTAACATTTTCCATCTTGAGGATTCTGCTTGAATGCTTTATTAATTTGGTTTAAGAAAAGAGGGTAACCTTGAGGTCCTTAATGTGAAAGTGATGACTGTGTGTGGATACCTTTTCAGATATTCTATTTCAAAAACGTTTTTGGTCAATGCAAGGCTCAATCTATGTTAGTTCATTCTTTCTTTCATGTTCAAATATGCAAAATAGTATGTCCAACCGTTTTCACAGATGACCGCATTACCTTTTACATCAGACACCTGAATCGGCTCATCATCGCAGAAAGCTCCCTGCCCCTTCCTTGCTTTATACATCTTGTCCTCCAAGCAGCTGTAGATCACACCAAACTCCAACTGCAACCAGACGTCATTATTTTAGCTTTTACTTACTGAGCAAAGTGTGGACAAACTAATTTTAAAAACTGTAACATTTTCTCTTGTTTAATCTGACATACCTTTTTTTTGACAGCAAAGGCAATAGACACAGCCACGAAGGGGAATCTGTGAATAAGCAGTTTCATATACATTAAATAAGCATTATAACATAGCCAGAAAAGGTACTTTTTGTCAATAGAAAATTGTCTTTTATGTCCAATATAAAACACATTTCAAGGACTGCTTTCTTTCACCTGTGTAATACTACAAAAATTAGGCATATCCTAATTGGCATTTGTTATGTTTGTTCACACCAAGTTTTTCGCGATGCTGTACTCGCGTGAGTTTGGACGCTGGAATGTTTTGTGTTGACTCGCTTCATACACACGAATAACTTCCGTCATACGCATGTGAAATCGCTGAATTGATGAATGAACTTCCACTGGTATGTCCTCTGTGTACCTCAGTGCTGATTGGCTATTGCAGCGCAAATTGGTCACTGAAGTTCAGATTTTTCAACTCTCGCGCATAAACGTATGACATGAAATCGCACTACTCCCTGAATTTACGCTGCTTAATTTGCATATTTCGCATGGTGTCCATCGCATCCAGTGTGCCACCCTGCAGGACTTTGTGTCTAACCGTGTATTTACATTGACTTTACATGTAATTCACTCGCATGAATTGTTTTATTTGCACCCAGTGTGAGCACAAAATTACATCTAGGCTAGATTACTGCAATTCCTTAACTAGTCTAGAATTCAGTGGCACTAAGGAACTAAGAAAAGTGATCATATCTCTCCTGTTTTAGCTCCTCTGCACTGGCTCCCTGTAAAATCCAGAATATTTAAAATCCCTCTCCTAACTTACAAAGCTCTAAATGGTCAAGCTCTGTCATGTCTTAGAGAGCTCATAGTGCCATATTATCCTACCAGCACACTGCGCTCTGAGAATGCAGGGTTACTCGTGGTCCCTAAAGTCTCCACTAGTAGAACGGGAGCCAGAGCCTTCAGCTATCAGGCTCCTCTCCTGTGGAATCATCTTCCTGTTTCAATCCGGGAAGCAGACACCGTCTCCACATTTAAGACTAGACTTAAGACTTTCCTTTTTGATAAAGCTTATAGTTAGGGCTGGCTCAGGCTTGTTTTGGACCAGCCCCTAGTTAGGCTGACATAGGCCTAGTCTGCTGGGGGACCTCCTATAATACACCGAGCCCCTTCTTTCCTTCTCTCACTTGCTCTTTGGATCCTCTTCCTTTGCTAACATTCATGTCCAGTTACTGCACTAATTTGGCTTCTTTTGCCGAGCCTTTGTGCAGAAACATGGCAGACTCTGTGGAAGACAACCGGCTCATGAATTTGGGTTTTTCTTAAGATAGCAATGTCATGACCGCCCTACTCTGCCTTACTCTGCTTCTGATTGGCTTACCCTGACATACTTGCCCTAGCCCTCACCAATCTAACCCCTCTTGCCTAAACGTAACCAATCCAACCAATGAAGGCAACAGAAACTAGCCAATCAGAGGGAGAGTAGTGCCAGCCATGCCTTTGCCATCCTAGGAAACACAAATTCATGATCCATTCCATATGTAGACAGAAACGTCTCATTTTGAAGCAACAAATACACAATAATTGTTGGTTTCAGGTGATTTAACTTATAAAAGTTATGAATATTTTATTCCATTTCTGCCAAATTATTCCCTTAAACCCTACACACTGGACCTTTAGGGAAGAAAGTTACACTTCGAATGCTTCTTGTTATAGCGCAACCGTTGAGTTTGTTCTGTTTGGTTTGATCAGGTTAAAGAAAATCCATTAACACAACTAGCTGTCCTTTAGCAACACTGACATCTTACCCATGCACAAAGTTTGTGGTGCCGTCCACAGGGTCTATGATCCATGTTGGTTTATCAGTTAAGATACAAGGCTCCCCCTTTGCCACAGACTCCTCACCGATGAAGCTGCAGCACAGAAGAAGAAAGGACAAAAGACAAACATCAAGATATGACACAAACAGCGCAAAGGTTCATAAACAGGTGAGTGTGCATGGGGGTATGTCTCACCAGTGTGCATCTCCAAATTCTTCTTTAAGAGAGCCGATGATGATTTTCTCCACCCTCTCGTCAGTCTGAGTGACGAGGTCTACGGTGGTGCTCTTTGTTGAAACCTTTATTTCATCATCCGCGGCTTTCCTGATTACCTAAACAAATGGTATATCATTGGTACATGCTTAGAGATCATGAGGATAAAACAGGGTGTATCATATAGATGGATTATCACAATATCTTCCAAAATATTCAAGCCAATGTTGCAACCATGAGGGGAGAAATACATTCAAAGATGGCTCTTATACGTACTGCTCCAGCTGCTCTTGCCACTTGAACAGCAAAATCATATGCATTTTGCCATGGGTCTGCCATTATGTTTGTATGGAGGGCTTACAGAGGGGAGCCTGTAAAACAAAGCAAGCTTGTAAAGTGCAGCAATGACTCATAAATGCATAAAAGTGTTATTCATGAGAATTTATATGAAATGTAATAAACCTTAATAAATGCAAAACAATTAAAAGCTTTTATTTAAAAAAAAAAAAAGGTAGCAGAGTGCCTGGTGTAAAGGTGCCGCCCTGTCTCTGCAGCAGCACAAAACAATACTTCTTTCTAATCCTGCATGCTTAGCACACTCCTCCTACAACAGAGTGAGTTACGCAACACTTCCGCGTCTGTCTGTCCTGCGTTGTATTTAATCACCGCCAGATGCCACAGGTTTTAAACTTAGACATCAGTGCAGTTATGAAACAGCAGAGGTGGAGGAAGCATTCAGATCTTTAACTTGATTAAAAGCAGCAATACTACAGTGTAGAGATAGTCTGTTACAAGCAAAAGGTTTGCATACAGTATCAAGTATTGGCATTGATATATATTTCAAGGACTAAAAGTCCAAGTACTATCTTTGTGGAATGGCCTGTTTAAGTGTATTATATTGCTGAGTGTAAGTGATACATTGTGTTCATCTCTTTAATGCCGCAGCTGGTAAATGTGGAGCTAATTTTAATTACTTTATATACTGATGGATAGTTTGTGTTAAAATGTGTTCTGCAAAGTAACTTAAGTTATCTAATAAATGGAGTAAAAAGTACAAATAATTGCAACTGAAATGTAGTGGAGTAAAAGTATAAAGTGGCATAAAATCGAAATATACAAATACAAGTATATTTAAGTGTATTTAGGTAAAATACTTGGGCAATATACTTAGTTACTTTCCATTACTGAGTAGCTGGTGCCAGTGAGGGTGTGGGTTTGGTTTCAGAAGTGCATAGAGCACAGAAAATCAGAAGTTTTGCAATAAAAATGAAATGCATGTGAATGCAACTTCCTGCTTTTTCTTTAAATGACATTTAGTGTTTGTTGATACTTGATAAACTCTGTGTGAATCTTTTTACTACTGAAGAACATACTGTACTTTAGCTCTTCATACTACACATAGTGTGGAATATTTTTGCTATTGCACATTATGTGTCACAGCAGTGGTTGCTTTGTGACAAATCTACCCTCAGGAGGAGTTTTTTGTGATAATTTACACAGAGGAGTTTGTAATTACATAATTACCCATCAAATGATAATCACCTGTAGACATTTTATACACACATGTATCACCTATGCACGGCTATAAAATGAAAGAAAATCTTACCTTGTGAAGTCAGGTGGGCAGGCTGTCAAAGGTGACTCCGAGATACCAGTGCACCTTCTTTTGCAAAACTTCAAGCTTTAAGTTCCCTCATTGGAGAGATGAAGCAACTACAAAAGCTGGCATGACAGAGTAGGAAAAGTACTAGCTCCACCCTCATGAGTTTCCTCATAGCAACCCATAAAAAAACAACATTCTATTGATGAAGGCAGACATGCAATGACATGATGCCACCTATGCTGTGCACAGAGTGCATTAATGTAAGCAGGAATATTTTCAAGTGTCTTTGTAATCCAGGAAGATACACCCTGCTACAGTTTGGTGTATGTGCAACAGTTGATATGACGAGTTATTAAAGGCTGTACTGTGTAATGGAAAATCCCATAAATCAGATTTTCTGAGGTAAAAGTCTTTTTGAGAAATTAGTGTGCATTCCAGCTCCTGACTTAGTTTTAACATGGGGATTTGGCATGACAAACAAAAGCCCCTGTCAGTTTTATATTTCCTGACAGTTTCACATCTATAGAGCTTTCCCTTTATGTCCTTTTATTGTATTCCACTTGTGGAAAATACTTTGAAAGGTCCTCTGGTGAGTCAGCAGAGATTATGAGTGTTTGCATGCCTGTTTCTCACTGTGCAAGTCTTGGCAATATCCTCATGAAGTGAGTGAAAGTCTACAATGCAGATACACAGATCTAGATGTGTCTGTTTCTATGTTTATATGTCAAACTCTTCACTGTTAGGTGAGGTAACTTAAATGCTAATAAATTCTCCTCCTCTGTGAGAGTATCAGGAGCTACTGCAGGGTACAAATATCAAATGACAATAGTAGTGGTTAAAAGTAGCCATTGTAACAGTACAATAAAGTTGACTTGAGTCTAGGATATCACAGCACTATGAGTTTTACAGCATATGTGCAATGCTTTGGCCCCAGGGTGACATACTTTGGTTCTCTTTCTCATTCAAATGCATTATGCACAAAATACTATGCTCTAAAGTCTTCAAGCTACTTCTCTTAAAACACCAAGAGTTGCCTTGCACGAAGTCATACCTTGCTGCAAGTCTGATTGTTCAATTTGTGGTAAACGCCGCATGTCTCAAAAACACGATGCCTCTTCACCTGCTTACAACATGAAGTGTGACGATAACTTTGATACGTGGTTCATTTTAGTGTTTGAAAAAGGTCAGCAGCACTTAAACAAGGTGAACTGTAAGTGATTATTTGTGCTACTGTAAAGATTTAACACAGTTAATTACAGGTTCACACCAAAACATGTATTATTTTCTTCATTGTCTGAAGTCCAAAACACACCGGCGCAGTACGACGCGCGTCAAAACAGCCGCCCCCATTATTTTCTATTTACAAACCCACACCTGCGGCGGCTCGACCTGTGGCACTTTACGCTATTGTCCTATTTTTCCAGCGTCGCCACCCTTGAAAAAGCGCTATTTTGTACTTCCCAGCCTAGCAAACTGGAGTGTGCAACAGAAATCCGGTTGACGCCCTGCAGTGCGACGCTTTTTGTGTGTGTTGGAGGCGGCACTTGACTCGCGTCAGTGACGCCGCCGGTGTGTTTTGGCCTTCAGTCTTGTCTGTGTTTGTAAAAAAGCAGAAACAGAGGGTTTTTTTCTTTTTGCGGGGGCCGTTCAGACATGATGTTCATCACTGCCACACCTTGCATAACTCAAGTTTATGTGTGCTGAAATACCCTAAACCTGTTTTGACTGTTTGCTATTGCACCAGTGAAGACAGGATAGGTGACAATGCATAAATGCTAACGCTGTCCTCTTTCACTATTCATACATATACTTACAAAATGAAAACAAATCACTTACATTTGTTTATAACTGACATGATTGTGATCCAGGAGCCAGGAACAGCACTGGGCTTTAAAGCCAATTTCACATAGTAGTCAAACCATGTAACTACAACTTATGAGTCCATTGCGTGATGACACTGGGCCCAAAAAGACTTTTTCCCTTCCACTTACATGGGGAAAGAGAACTCTGTAAATCAGTGGATACATTTGAGACTCGTGTCACAACCCTGTCTCACTCCCAGCTCGTCAAATACAGAGGTTTGGTCAGTGGCCCGTCAGCGTCAGACACCGTTGCACAGAGGCACCCCTTAGCGGCAGTATGCTATGCGAAGGGCAGTGGCATTTGTTGACACTGTAGCAAATGCTGTAGTATAAAGAGCGAGAAAGTCCACACAGGGCAGAAGGGAGGGGAGGTAAATGGGTCAAACAAACTCTGGACTTTCACCTGAGAACCTGCTGTTCCCGTCCCACGTAAAACCAAAGTCTACAGTTATTTAAATAACAGCATAGTGTGTTAGTATGTATACTGAACTAGTGACATATGGCACGTGACGTTACATTATGTTAGTAACAACCATGGTTATTTTAAGCCAACCATACTGCTTTTTTCTATACCTAAAGTCTTGGGGCTGCTGTGAAACTGTGCCTACTTAGGGCAACAAAAAGTTTATCTTGGGTGTTCGTAAGAGATCAACTCTGAGGAGTAGAGGCCTGACTCCCAAATCACAATGACCTGTGTATGTAAGCAGAACATACACAAATGTATAAAAAACACAACTATACACAGAAAATAATAACAAATAAAAAAAGAAAGAAAAAATAAATATAAAAGAAAAATAAACAAAATAAAATAAATACATAAATAATATAATAAATAAAAATGAATAAAAAATAATATAAGGGGAAAAAGAGAGTTAATCTCATCCAATTAAGTAATCTACACCTACTGTAGCTTATGCGCCCAATCAGTGACGTGCTTGTCTGTTTTACTGGACTGTGCTTGGCATGGATTAGTGTGTTGTTTTTGTTGCTGTTGTTTGTTGTTTGTACATTGTGGGATGGGGAAGCTACAAACAATTTGCCCCTCGTGGGATCAATAAAGTTGTTTCTATTCTATTCTATTCTATTCTACAGGCCACTGTCTGATCGTCGGAATTTGACGAGTTGGGAGTGAGAATGTGTTGCGTTTCCCTATCAGGAATTGTTCAGTTTGGTCCAATAACATTTCAAAAGTCTATAAGAGCTGCACAATTTAATCATTTTATCTCTATTCAAGTTAGAGGAGGGCTTAACTGAAAGTCAGTCGCTGGGCTGATGGCAGTTAGCAGCTTGACCAGTGAAAGTCTCTAAAGCACTTGTTCTCTGGGCTGATTACTTTTATATTTGGAGAGTCAAACTTTTTTGGCTTTATGCACCACTGAGCAACTTTTATAGGAATGAACCAGGCCCCGCCTCCAATGCTGTATCCAGTTCTCTTTATACATCCATGATGACAAGCGACAAAGTCCACATAGGGACGAAAGTCAGGGTGTTGGATGGGTCAAACAAACACAGGACTTTCACCCAGGAGACTGAAGTTCGTGTGCCATGTCAAACCAAATTTTACCATTGAGTTATTTTAATACTGAAGCTCAGAAGGTGACATCACATTGTCACGTTACATTGTCACACTGTCACACCATGTTAAGACGCCCAACCACAATCTCCTCCTAAATCTAACAGTACTGGTAGGGATGGTAATTTGCAAGATATCATATGAACCATTGTATGCCGATATGTTGAAATACTACATGATTCTCTTCAGACAACTTAGTCATCTGATATCGATCACTTTGTGATAACAGTAGGAAATTGTCATCTTTGCAACATCCTGGATTCACTAGAAATCCTGATACACGACCACTAAAACAAACCGACCTCTGTTGAGCTTAACAGATCAGCATGTGGTACCATGAAGAGGCAGTTTGTTGAAAGTTTTTGTTTGACTGGGAGCAGCAGGAGAGCAGTTGTCACCCTGATGTCCCTGTTGTGCACTAAATATAAGGCAGTCTATAAAATGTTGAGAGACAGGCAGAGGGAAGTGATAGGACAAGCAAAACAAATACATCAGTCCTGCTGTCTCCCTGGCAGGTCTGTTATGAATAATTTATTCAGGATGACGGATGTTTTGGATGTTTGGTTCCCTGGAATTACAGCTGTAACTGAGGCCTGCCATGATGCTGGAGTTGCTGAAGGTCAATGGTGCACCCTGAAAGATGATCAGGGAGCTTCCGACATGTTGTTTCCTGTCTAGAGTCCTTAAAAGTCTTATAGAGTTATTTATAAAGACACACTGGGGCTTTGAGCTCACTGCTAATGCCAGCATGATAATTCCAGCATGGGAATGCCATTAGTTTTGAAAGTATTTAGTCCTAAAGTATTGAACAAACTAAAGTTTAGGTGTGGATGATGGCGCCAGATAAAAAGTCAGGAGATCACCAAGGTTATTACAATTCATCCACTGGGGACCATGAATGTCTGAACCAAGTTTAATGTCAGTCTAGCTAATAGTTGAAACATTTCACTAAAAACTAAATATGTCAACCTGCTGCTGGCACGAGAGGATTACCCAGGGGATGCCATAAGTTTAAGTACTTGACAAACTGTAATTCTGGCCTGATGATGGCAATAGATGAAAAGGCAGTAGATCACAATATTCCAGTTCTTCCACTGGGGACCATGAATGTCTAAACCAAATTTAATGCATATCTATCCAATAGTTTTTGAGGGAATTCACTAAAAAACAAAAATGTCAAATTGCTAGTGGGGCAAGATCATAACCCAAGGAATCACCAACGTATGTAGGACTCATCCTCTGAGGACCATGAATGTCTGTACCAACTTTTATGTGACTCTATCAAGTAGGTGTTGAGGGAATTTAATAAAAAACAAAAAATGTCAACCTGCCTGTGGTGGTAGAGGATAGTCCATGGGATTACCAAAGTCTGTAGGCCTCATCCTCTGTGGACTATGATTGTCTCTACCAAATTATATGACAGTCAAGTTAATAGTTTTTTGGGCATTTCACCAAAAAAAAAACAAAAACAAAAAAACACATCACCGTCATGGCAACAATATAGAAAAAGTAAGAGGATCACCAACGTTAATTGGTATTTGGTCAAAAAAGCATGGAGCAAACTGATTATGGTGCTAGATGTAAAGTCAGGAGATCACAAAATTTTTCCAATTCATCCGCTGGGGACCGTGAATGCCCAAAATTGTTGGACATAAGGCCCCAAGCATAAAAACAAAAAATGTCAAATTGCTTGTGGTAATAGAGGATAGCTAATAGGATCACCAAAGTCTTTAAGCCTCCTCCTCTGTGGACCATGACTGTCCGAACAAAATTATATGGCAATCAACTGAATGACTGACTGAGCATTTCACCCCCCCAAAAAAACCTCATGGTGGCGCTACTGGAAAAGTCAGAGGGTCATCAAAGCCAGTAGGCTTTATCCTCTGAGGAACGTGAATAAATGTGAGTGCCAATTTATGGCAAACTATCTTATAGTGGCTGAGATATTTCAGTTTGGACCAAAGAGGTGGGCAGCCCATTTAACTGACACTGATCTAACCACACTGCTTGTGTAGCTAAAACGAATAAAGGAAATGCATGACAATATGACTGCAGATGAAGTCAATTCCTGAGCACAAGAAGGCGTATTGGGGTATAGAAGCAAAACTGATAGAAAGCTAACATTGTTCAAAAATGTCTACAGAGCCTGACTCTCAAATCTCCTGGGGAACATTTTTGTGATGTAGCAGGAAAACAGTCTTGCCAGCTTTTCAAAGAACAATGGTTGGTACTTCCTAAAAGCAGCGAGGACATAAAAGTAGGAGAACTTGATGACTAAAACTCAGTAAACAAGTGAGAAACATTCAAAATCAAAAGACGGGGAACCGACAACATGAGCAGCTGTTGGTGTAAAGGTGGAGTTGACAGAGGAGGACTTGGCTTTCAGCTGGCTGACTCTGGAAATCATTCCCTACACTGATGATTACATTTGAACCCCCTGCTGGAAACTAACATGGACCATTGATTTCTGAGGAGGAGGCCGCAGCAGTAGAAGACCTGGGTTTGCTCAAGTAAAATGTTTTAAAACCATTTGTTAGTCATCAGCAAACACAAGCTGGAAAAAACAGAGACAACGGTCCATGGAGAGCAAAACTCTAGGCTATTTCATACAGCACATCCGCCCGGAGGTGGGAGGGGAGTAGTCCGCCGCTCTGCATGTGCAGTATCTGCAGCAGTGACTGAAAGGGCAGGGGAAATGCAGCAGAGAATTTTACATGGTGTAATGGCTGTGAATGCTTTTATCTCTCTACTAAATCACATCGGTAGCAGTCAGTGTGGTTTTTTTCCAGTGTTTTATGGAGTGTCAGAGGCCTTTTTTCTGTTTATTTGGTTGCCTGCTTGCCACAAGAGACACTTTTCTTTCTTCATATTTCCTACTTTATAGATTTTATAAAGAGAAAAGAGAGTTTATCATTTTTCTAGGTCAGAGCAAGAAAGGACATTTATGTTTTGAACACACGGTTGATTCAGGACACTGTCAGGAAGGTGTTTAGGAGCCTTGCTGGAGATTGAATACAAAGGGTTTTCCAGTCTCCAGTGTAGTTCCAGATAATATCAGATTTCTGGAGATAGAAGATGGCGTGGCAGCTTTTGTTTTCTCAAAGAGAAGGGAGCATGGGAGCAGCCTTGGCAGATTTTATTGCATAATGTTTTTTTCTTGTCTTTGGTATTTGGATGGTTTATTTACAAATTTCAGTGGGAACGAGCCACGACACTGAGACTTCCATATTTAGTCAAAGAAATTCAGCATTTTTCTACAAAAATGTTCACACTCAGGTTTTTACTTCTGCTGCCTTGGACAGTCTTCAGTTTAGAGTATAGCCAACACGAGTATGCATGCTGACACCTGTCTCTGCAGGGCTCTAATGACGTAATTTTATCCATCTGTGGTGTGTCAGAAAGAAGCTGGGTGTGAGCAGTTATTTATAGGGCTCTTTCCCTGTTATTACATCCTTACAGATCACCCATTTAAAAAACATTAAAGCACATTTTCAAGAACTCCATTATTTTATTTCAGACTTGATAAAGATGCAGTTATACAGTACAGTAGGTATGCGTAAACACTGTTTGGTGTCCATATTCTTGTATTTAAGGGGACCTATTATGCTCATTTTCAGGGTCATGCTTGTATTTCTACTAGAACATGTTTACAGGCTTTAATGGTCAAAAAAGATTTTGTTTCCTATACTGTCTGTGCTGGAGCACCTGTATTCACTCTCTGTCTAAAATTTCCCTTTTGGGGCCCATCTCTTTAAATCCCCCTCCCAAAAAAGCCCAGTCTGCTCTGATAGGTCAGCATTTCCAGGTGTATCAACATCTCTTTTTCACAACAGCAGCCAGGGAATGGTTGCAACAGAGTAAAGCCACATTTTCTACAGTGAAAAATTACCAATAAAAGCTGTCGTACATGTTCCAGTAGGAAGAAGGCGGAATTTATACTTATGTGTTGAATCAACGCTATACCTATAACATAGACTCTACGTTGGCGCAGAGCCTATGCCGTAGCCTGACATGCACCTCCTCAGAAATGTAACTACATCTTGCGGCGACGCAGACCTTCTGTCTATTTTTGTAAGCTGAAACCATTTCCCTCAGTAGAAAGGAAGCTTTTATCACAATTAAGAAACAATCAATTGTGAAGACAATAGAGCCTCCACAAAAATATAATTTGAAGTCTTGCGTGTGATGTATACTTAGGGATTTATCCTGGGTTCATACAGGCAGAAAAAATCTCTGCTCAGCGCTAGGCTAATTTATACAACGTAAAATGCCATAGGCTTGTGCTAATAATGTTAGCATGTTATATTTGTTTGGAACAAGTGTTTAGTGTAAGACAGTTGTTTTGTCAGTGAACCTTGTGAGTTGTAATGGAGCCAAATTTTGTAACTTTACCTTTGTTAAATGTTGCTGTTGTCCCTGGTTTCATATGAGAAGAGGAAAAGTCTGATAGCTGCTAGGCTAATTTATATAATGTAAAATGCCATAGGCCTATGTTAATAACATTAGCATGTTGTATTGGTGGGGGAAATGTGTCCAGATAAAGACAAGTGCTTTGTCTGTGAATGCTGCGAGTTATTGTGAAGCCAATTTGTGTACTTGTGTTTGAAACTGTCTCTATGAAGCCATGTTTAATGTGTTTTGGGTGTGTTTTGAATCAACTAAACTTTACAGCACTTAACATGAAATCTCAGTCGCCGACTAGTGTTTTGGAGGTGTAACTGCAGAGCGACCCAGACACATCACTGCACAAGTATAAATGCTAACAACAGCGTAGGTCACGTGCGTAGGCTATGGCATAGGGTCTGCCGCACAAGTATAAATCCAAAACAGGTGAAAAAATAACATCAATATCAACCAAGATTTCATGTTTCCCTGATGTTAGCATGTAGCACATTCTCCCATTAAAAATTACCAATAAAAGCTTTTAAACCAAAATCTTAACAACCGGACATGTTCCAACAGGAGTACGATCTAAAATCTGGGAGAAACAAACAAAATCAGCAACCAAGATTATGCTTTCCTGACGTTAGCATGTAGCTACATGTAGCAGTGTCTGTAATGTAAACACTTGCAGTAGCGAGCCTGAAGCAGATGACCATAAAAAGTAGTCTGTCATGAGCTGGCGTTATCTTGTTGCCAAACTAGAAAAATCATTGGAAACCAAATATTCAGAACAGGTTGAAGCCTGAGGTTTCTGCTCACAGGGATTACTTACATACATTTACCTAATTATTTGAAACTTTTGCCATGTTTACTATGAACATCCGAAATTGTAACATTATATATATATGACAGAAAATACAGTGGAGCATAATAGGTTCCCTTTAACTATCTAGTGATGGCACTGAAACTAACTTTCTAACCGAGTAAACAAATGTGTCTTTAATAAATACAATAACCTATGATGAAATCCTTTGTGGAAAAACATTATTAATCAAAACCTGAACACATTTGTCCTAAAAATATTCCAATGGTGCTGTAAGGAGGTACTTTGTCAGTGATCATGTTCTGACTGCATTGTCCACACAAATAAATACAAACAAAAATCCAAATAAAAACTGGCTAATTATTAAACAACAATACAGTAAAACAAGTGTGTATTTGGACACAGGCATAATTCCTTCAACACAATCACATCATTTCTTTCCAAGTTACAACAGAATAAAAAGTCTAAATCTGTGAATGACTAAGTGCAGAAATACAACAGTGACTTATAAAGAAAGCAGAGAGAGGGCTAAAAGTCTCAAGTGCTGACAATCTTTAGATTGTTCTTTAGAGGTAACTTTATCGTTTGGTTCTTAAGGCAAAGACGGAATCGTAACTTGTTAATACAAAACAGTCTGTGATTAAATAACTGTAAAGTTGGTGATGAGATGATAGAGAATTTACTGGCCATCTGCGTCGTCCCTGCCAACATGAAACTCTGTTATCTCCTTGGCGATGCGCTCTGCTATGGCTTTGCTGCTGGCGATGATCAGCCTCCGTGACATCAGATCAAACGGTCCACCTGGATGAAAGAGGTAAGTTGAACTTCACATTTTGTTGATGCAAGACTGTTAACTTAACATTTGATGTGTGTTGTGTTAATCTGAATAAACCAGCTGAATGCCCCCAGAGTAACTGCTCCTGATGAGGTCATTTCTCAGTGTTGGATCCACATTTCTTTAGAATCGGAGTCCCTCGTTGAATTATATTGCTGACTAGACGAGATTTGTTACGACCTCTCTTATTTCCTGACACTGTAACATTTTTTTTAAGAATTGCACTGATTGAGTTGGGTTTTTCTAGTTTTCTCAAAATGTCATTGTACAGTAAGCACACTTAAATCTGAAACATCCATAGGAATTCATACTGTTAAAACACAGCTATCCCTGTCACGATAACTACTTTTGGTAGACGATACAAGTGTCCCAGAAATAATTGGGATTAAGATATTGTCAATTTAAGGCCACTTAATGCCACTGATATAATGATAATACTACAGCATGATAAGAGCAATGAACTTTAAATTCTTAAGAATATTCAGACATTGGAATAGGAATGTGTAACAAATAAATAAAATACCCTAAATAAATAAAATATAAATAAGGGGGTATAGAGAGTACAGCTGCAACTAATAATTATTTTCATCATGGTTTTATCTGCTAATTATTTCCTTGATTAATCGTTTTGTCCATACAATATCAGAATATAGTGAAAAATGCCTGGAACAACTCCCGGAGCCCAAGGTGACATCTTCAAATGGTGTGTTTTATTTGACCAACAGTCCAAAAATCAAAATCTCTCTAGTTTATTGTCATGTGCAACAAAGAAAAGCATCAAATTTTCACATTTAAGACACACAAAACAAGCAAATCTTTTTCTTTTTGCTTAAAAATGGCTAAAACGCTTATTCCGTAATCAATATAGTTGCCGAATAATTTTTTGTCAATCAACTAATCGCTTTAGCAAGTTATCGATTGATCAAATTGTTTCAGGTCTATTAGGAATCTTTCCTAAACAGGCAATATACTGCCAAATCCTACCTGTTATTCTGCATGTAAACACAAAAGCATTATCATACGATACACTGGACATGACCTTGATCAATTTTTGCTGGCCCAAGTAAGTCGATAACAAAATTATTGTGACAGGCCTAATCACAGCAAAGGTAATGACGATGTGGCATTTGGAAGGTCGTTTCACCTTACTGACAATGTCACTGCCTGACCAGGTAATGTAAGGGCAAATATGTAATTTAAGTCAAAGAGTTCCTGCACTCTCAAGTAACACAACTGCATTCATTACTTGTCAAAGACAGAATAAAACAATACTAATCATTGTGGCAACAGTTGAGCACAAACTATGTGCCAGTGGAAATGTTATCCTCCATAGATCTGGCTTATTGCACCACCCAATCGATAAAACAAGCACAATGCATTCATTTTTAGAAGCTTGTGTTTGGAGGAACAATTGTTAAGTACTAGGCTCGTCAGAAGGGGGAGAGCAGTTATAAATCAGAGGGTGAAGGCGTGGGCGATGAATTTCCAAGATCATGATACCACTCATTTTAAAATTCACCACTCTGCGGGATCAGATTTAAAGCAGGAGAGCTGATCAGAGTTATGACCCAAGTTTTCTCCACCACATAGCCGCACTACTCCACTCATTACTTCTTACATATATTAAAAATGAAGCATGTTAGAAGAATTTAAGATTCTGCTTATTTTCATTAGCACTGTCATTGTTAACTGTGCAAATTTGACTTGACAAACAGCATCCTGAAGCTCACCTGTTGTGTTAGTGGCAGTGTTGCCCAAATCTAACACCAACTTTCTCAAGCTCTGCTGCTTCCTGTTTCAAAAATACAACCACTAGATGCCCTGCTCTCCACCTCTGACTGTGTTTTTACAGGAATTTCTGCGTAGAACGAGGGATAAAAACTAATGAGGAGAATTAGAAACAAAAAAAAAGCACATCAACATTAATAACTTATGTTTCTGTTGAAAAAACAGCAGCCTATTCTTGAAATCTCCGTCAGCAATCCTGCAGCTTCTCCATGAGTCAATCACCCTGCTGTGCGTTTCCTTCATTTCACCCAGTGACTCAGCAGCCTCTGAAAAAGTTTAGAAAAAGAGTTCAAGTCTTCTCAGTGACTCACCTGAGATGTCCATGATAACTCCTCCAGCTTCGGTAACAATCGCTGCTCCTCCAGCCATGTCCCAGCAGTGGATGCCCATGTGGTAGTAAGCATCAGCTGATCCACACGCCACCAGACACATGTTGACAGCTGCACTGCCCGGGGAGCGGATACTGTGGATGGAAATGGGATGTCTGCTCTGTATTTGACTGCACGGGACACACTGTTAACCTCAACAGAGTTAAGTATATATTTAGTGTGTGTTTTAGGCTTGGGCGGTATCACGGTGTTACGTCATGCCAGGGTATGTAGGAATTCCAATGCTGTGATTTTCAATCCCGTCAAAAATACAAACACTCCTCTTTCTATTAAACTGATACATAGATGCAGCACTGAGGCAATGTATTGTAGTGCACAGCCCGTGCCACCAGAGGTCAGTCTACTGGTGGAACAGACAGCTGAGCATAGACAGATAGTGACTGCGAGTGGTGGGGATAACATTACAGGACTACTAAAAACAGCTAGCAACAGCAGGAGAAAACAGCATATTTTCACGTCTAACTCAGTGAATTAAGGGTTTATTTCGACCAAATCAGAGTTGTGATTGTTAGAACAGTGAAAAATTAAACCAAGATAGTTTTGGTGAGTTTTATTTTGTTTCTGTCGAGTTTGAATGAAGTGCGCTCTACAATGAGTTAACAAGATAATTAGGCTAATCTGTGTTTGATGAAATAGAAACACTTGAATTCAGAAGGTGTACCGTTGTATTTTTCTGCATAATAATTTAATAACAGGTGCAAGAATAGCTCCTTTCTTGACATTTTGTGAGTTTATTATACTAAAAAAAAGGAAAGCGAGCACTGCAAATTCACCACTTCTGCCACCAGCAGCTCAGCTTCTACATTTTCTTCTTAAACAAACACTGCCATATGTTGTGTACTCTATTGATATGTCAGGAAGGTATGAAAAATAGACACCGCCCAAGCCTAGTGTGTTTGTGAATGTTGAGATTTATAATCCTTATGATTTACATGGAATCAAACACCATTAATGATGAAGTGTTTATGGTTGCCATTTTTTAATGGTATAAGGTGTTTACATTCTGCCATAAGCTCTCTAGTTTTAGTACTTCTATTAAAAGAAATACTATTGTTTCTTACACATAGCACAGCAAAAGGACAGGCAAAAGGTCATGTGGTATGCACCTTAATCATTAGGCTACCAGTGCGGCCCTCAACATAGTAATTATCATTGTTAATGGCGGGGTCCGCCATTCCAACACTGGATTTAAACTGCCTTCACACACGAGGGAAAAACACCAGCGTTACTATCTATACTTTCACCTCACTGATATCAGCCTCACTGTTTACTACTCACACCCTGCAGCTGCATGAGAGCTGTGTAACGTTACTGCAAATGCAACCCAAAAATAGAAAATAAAAAAATCCTACTGCTGCTTCATATTAAAAGCATGTTCACCTGGTGAAACATTTATTGTGAAGCCGTCATAGGAAACACAATGGATCGGTCACCGAGGGTATCGCCGACCACAGTCACTCATCAAGAAAAGTGTCAGCACTTTTCAGTAGTGGATAATTTGTAATTTTTTTTAAAAAGGGAATAATGGAAGAAGAAGGAGCAGCCTCAGAGAGCTCAAAGCCACAGGCCGCACACCTTTAACCTCAATTTAAAGGAAAACTACTTACATTGTGTGTGACATGAAATCAGATTGCAGCTGCGAGTATTTCTGACTGACTTCTTTATCTAAACAACAGATATTCAGGTTGCTTTTCTGTTGTATTCCCGATTAAGTAGCTGTGCAAGGAGTGTTTGCTAATACACTAATCATGGGGGTCACCAAATCAAACAGGAGTGAAATGGTTAAGGATTACAACTGGTGTACAAGTGTATATTTACCCATGTACAGGGATGGTGAGGATGGTCCTGATGTTGGCCAGCATTGTTTTGAACTGCTCAGGATCCTTCTTGAAGCCCATTTCTGTCAGGACCAGAGACTGGCTAATATCTTGGATGAAAACACAAAATCAAAATACATTAAATAGATAACAGCCTGTTTACTCCTGTGAAAACACAGAATCACAGGTAGTAACGTACAGCTGCTGTGTCTGAGGTTTTAGGTTTCTGTGTTGAGCTGTTACAAGCAGAGAATCTGCTGTGATGTTGCTTCCACCTGGTGGATTTGTTGAAAACTGCAACACTGAAGCCATATGTGATAATCAATATTTACCTTCTTGTCCAGACACTTTGATGGGCTCTCCGTTGCAGAACGCGCCCTTCCCTTTCCGTGCTGTGTACATTTTGTCCTCGATGCAGCTGTAGACAATCCCAAACTCTATCTGACACCAAGAAGCAGCACAGAAAACAGCGGTGATGAAAGTGGAGTGTGAGGAGGGCTAAGAATAGACCAGCTGTGTGAAAAGAGCAATCTACAGCACTACTCATCAGAAATTCACCGGGTTATGGGGGCAATTATTATCTTAATGTTTCTTATAATTAAGATGTTACAGTGTCAGAAAACGTGGTTCTTAAACAATAAAGCCTACCTCTTTCTTCACGGTGAAGCCAATTGATACAGACACGAATGGGAACCTGCACAAAAGACATTTACGATATAAAAAACATTCCTTTAATGAACTCCCCTTAGGTTTAAGCTCAGAGTAATCAATTTCTATTATCAGTTCAGTTTCATCTACGTCGTCTAATTATCCCTGATAGAGAGGACAACCCAGGAGAGAAGCTAATTAAAAGATAAAAATAGATAAGGAGCGACAAAGACAAAACAAATCCAATGCCGGATCAGGCTTCTCAATGGTTTCATACAGTATTAAAGCACACGCAGCACCTGTGAACAAAGTTGGTGGTACCATCAATCGGGTCGATGATCCAAGTGGGATTGTCGGTTAGTACGCTGGGAGCACCTGCTGCCACTGACTCCTCACCTATGAAGCTTCAGAGAGAAAACAGAAAATAAACATTTATTATTGTATCATACGACTGTTACCTCAGCTACTAAGTAAAGTAGTGACGTCCACTCATCAAGTCAAAACACACACATTCTCATTGACTAACTAATTGATACTGCTTGCGTATATTATTGTGGCATATTTATTTTGAATACAGTCCATCTGATGCTTGTTTTGTTTCTGTTTTTTGCCCTTTTCATCACTACTACAAATGCAACTGTAGCCAGTATCTCACTATCACTATCCTCACCATCCCATTCATATTTTAAGAAGCTACAAATTATATTCAGCCACAAAATAAACCTGAAAAACTGGAATCAGAACAGAGATACAGAGAGTTGTTGCATAGAGACGATACGCTGTCTCATCTAGTTGCATTGGTGTGAACTGGCAGGTTTTTAGAACGTTGCAGAACAGTGCATTGCAAGTAGTTGCATGTTTCAGTTTATCTTGTTGCAAATCTTTGGTCTGAACTGGGCTTTAGATTCTTTAGTCAGCTTTAGATTCTTTAGTCAGTGTGCAGGGCACTTCTGTAGATGTTTCAGTCCCCCGATATAGCTGCAGAGTGAGCGCTCCTCCCTTTCACGATGCTCTCCGATACAGGCAGACCCCATCACCCAGAGTGAGTCTGACTGAAATGGAGGCAATGAACCAGAGAAAGACAAGCTTTGACCAGTCAGGCTTTAAGATAGTGTTGTCCTCGGCCTTCTGCTTAGAAGTGGTGAATTTACAGCTCACAGCAACCTAATACGATACAGTCTCTGGCTTTTGTTTGATATCTCGTGTCGGCAGAAAATGTTGCACATTTTTGTCCTATCATTATCTTAGTTAGCATGTATTAGCTTGGAGGGCTAACTTGGCTTGTTTACTATATTACATGTACATCACTGTCAAACTCCACAACAACCACACCTGATTCGACTGACATAATTCTGAGTTGGCTGCAGCCAATGGCAAGTGTAGTTAGCATCTTTTATTTGTTTATTTTGTTGCCTAGCTTGTTAGCTACTGGCTGACACAGCGGTCATGTGGTGAGACATAAAATAATAACTACTACGACAGAGTTTTTGGTAGACAGTGAAAGCAAGCTGTTTTCATCCGAAACTGCACACGCAACTGTGTTTGCTGTCAAAACTTTCACTATGCTAATGTTAGCTCATATATGTGTTTCCCATGTTACACATGGCTTCGTATTAGTGACATACATGATGTGGAAATACCTCGCTAGTGACAAACTTTGCATTGATAAAAATCAGTATAGTCAAGGTCAGACATTTTTGAGTGAAGGGGGACTTTAAATCTGATTATCTTTAGTCATGAACAAACAAATACAGGGTTTGGTTTTTCCCCATCAGAATGTATTTCAGGTAGTGTAGAGAAGGCTTTGCAACAGCTTTAATACCTTCATACTTACAGTTAACTGAATTTACAATTTTTTTTAATCCAAATGAATATAATATTAACATTTTTGGAGTCTAAACATTTATTTTTGTCTGTTTTTTGTGGCTCATGACATCAGTATTTCCAAATTCAGCCAATATTAGTGACAGGACAGTTCACGAGTGTGAACCTGCTTCATAACACAAAGTATAGAAAACTACTGTCACTATCACAAACAAAATAAGCAAAGTGAAGTGAGTTAAGCGCAGCATTAAATACAAAGAAGCAATTAACAATTAAACTAATATGAAAATAAGGGTCAAACTTGGAGAGACTGCATAAAAATACACTGTCACATGTCCTTCAGTGTTTTCAAGCAGCTCATAAAGCACCTCTCACGTGTCTTCGGTCAAATACCTGTGAGTGGGGTACTTTTCCTTGATGGCGGATATAATGAGCTGTTCCACTTTCTGGTCCGTCTCGGTCACCAGGTCAACTGGCGAGCTCTTCTGCATGACGGCGATGTCCTTCTGGAGCGCCTCGCGGATCATCTGGCAGAGACACAATGACAAACTCAGCGAGGGGATTTTTTGGATGACTGACTACATCTGCTGCTTTAATTAAGCCTAACATGTTATGTGTTATGGTTACGTACTGGTGGCAGTGATGGGTCAGAGAGGATAAGGTGTAAGATCCAGAGTCTTTACCGTTTTTTTTTTGTTTGTTTGTTTGTTTTTGAGCTTCAATAATTAGTCCACTGATCAATTAGTCAAGCGATGAAAGAGTATTTAGCAACTATTATAAAAATTAATTAATAATTAAAGTAATTTTTTTAAAGCAAAAATATACAAAAATTCTGCTTTCAGACTCTCAAATATGGAGATTTCCTGATTTTCTCGGGTTTATCATATTACTGTACAATGAATATCTTTGGGCGTTAGATTGATAAAAACAAGACATTTATAGAGGCACTGTACTTACATAATAATAATCAAAAAAATATTATCCATTTAAGTTCAGATTGTAATAAGTCCTAGAGATTCCAATGGTTTGTTCCATTTACGCAGCAAAAGATGAGTCCTTCCATCGATACAATAAGTCACAACCTCAGAGATCTGAGATTTACACATAGAAATAGAAGGACGTTCATAACTGACCCACTTCACCATGATGGCTTTCCTTGTCAAAATTGTAAGTGACTGAACCACTTCAGAGTCAGGGACATTTTCAAGCAGACATCAAAGTGGATTTGCTGACACCTGTTGACCTATTGCTTTTACTACTCTTTCACATATTTTTATTACAGGTTACTGTGACTTTCTTCTGAAATCATGCCCATTTTGTACAAACTGTAGGTAGAAAACATCACAGTTCCATCTTCTTTGCTACTTCTCTCCTCAAATCTCTTCTGAAACATATTTTAGCTAACTGTTTCTGTTTTGGAGATTTGTCACCAGCTGGCTGCCATATTGTTACCTGTGTCAAAACAGACAAGCTCACATTATGTCACCCACCAGCGAGTGTTTATTGGTCCAATAATTCTAGATTTCCTACCTCTTGAGCAAAAGCGATTGCCACAGCCCTTTTTCTCTGATTTCTCTGGTCATATGGCACCAATTTCACAAGTATTAGCATCTTCATGCTGCATAGACAGCCCAGATTTATGAAAAGACCATCTTTCTGGCAGTGACATGATTCTTTAATAATGCTCACAGCGTACAGCATATGACGCTAACGTTAGCAGCGAGATGTTATCAGAGTTTGCAAAGAAAATTAAATTTGAAACGACAACAGAGAACTACAAAAAAAGAAATGGGAGTCCAGAGCTAAACTTCAGTGTTCATAATGCAGCTGCTCGACAAACTGAACACCTGGATTAGTGTCTCACACCTTTTGTGGACAAGTTCAAGGCTCTGTTCAGAGGGAAACTGTGTCATTTCTCCCTCTAAGTTAAGCCACCTTGCTGTCTTGTTAAATGTGTGTAGTTTTTATTATGGACAACTTTTTCTGGATGCCTGACCTCATGTAAAATTAATGTGCAAACGTTTAATAAAAAGGTTTATGTAATCTTGATATACAAAACAGGAGATTTGTTTGATTTGAATGGCTGCCATTAGAGATTACACTTCACCTTGCGGATAACATAAAAATCATCATGATGTGTTGACAGAAATATAATATGTATTTTCCAGGAGACAGATGAGCAACATATTTGAACTGCTCTATGAAGGCTTTAAAAAAGCTGCTGCTGTGGACTGCTCTTTACTGTGACATGGCAATCCTATTATCAAAAGAGCAAGCACAGATGGAACTGAAAAAAGGTCTTCTTCAGTCTTCTCATCTTTAAAACCATTTTGATAAAGTTCCTGTCTGCCTCTGTGACATGTTGTTTCTAACCACTCTCTGACGTGATTAACAAAATGAATTTCTTCAGTGTTTGAGTCTGCTTTGACCTTGACAAAAATGCAGTTTTGCATTTTTGTACAAAGGCAAACCTGCCTTCATTCCAGGCATTCAAAACCCATGTGCAAATTATATTTCATGAGGAAAACAAGTGTTATCAACAGTCAAACTCCCCTTAATGAATGCCCTTTAGGCCCATGCTGTAGATAACTCCTTTGACATGACTACTGACATCATTAGACTGACTTTAATTACTGTATCATGTACCTGCAAGTTACTACTGCTGTGATGCACACAAAAGTGGACACAAAAGTTAACCAATGCCGTACCATATAAAATACAATGACCTCCAGACCATAAGAGCAGTATTTTCTCACCTTGCCAGCCTTTTTGGTGACCTCCACACAGTGATCCATACACTCCTGCCAAGCATCACTCATGTTGATTGTGGATGAGGAGTTATTAACCTTATATTCCCAGATAGTTACAGTTTAAGTTCCTGTTGGGAAAAAGCGACACTGAAGTTTCGTTCACATTAAAATTAGAATTTAACCTACCTATAAAACCATGAGCTACTGGCTTAAAAAAACTACATGAGCAGCAGGTAAATCTGTTAATAACGGTGAGAGCGTTGTGAGGTTAGCTGAATTAGCTCTCTATGCTAGTTAGCTTTTACGCGAATAAACTCGCAGAGTATAAAGAAAACAAACAGTGACGGCTACACACACAGAATAAGCAGTGTAGCCAGGCAGGTATGTAATGACTCCTAATTTACGTTGCAATATACAACAGAAAGAGTTTCAATGAGCTCGAGCTAAATGACCCACCTCCAGCTTCACACAGATTGACTTGACAGTTTTGACTTTTAGCTAGCTTAGCAGAGGGCGGGACTTAAGGTGACTCTCACTCTCATTGGTCAAAAATGTGAAGTCGCCGCTCTCATTGGCTAGACGGCTGTCATTTCTCTCTGTACAGGAAACTGATAATTTTTCCTTGTTGCCAAAAGAAGAGGCAGCAATAATGGATGATTTCCACAAGCGTGAGTTTTTTATATCTCGTGTATTTTATATTGTTATAGTTTATTGCAGCTTATTAATATGTTATATTCTGTATTTGCACTATACTTCCACTCTTTCCTACTTTGCTCAGCAACAGCTGCACAACAATTTTCCTTTAGGGGTAAATAAAGTTTGTCTATCTTAAATCTGTGGATGCATATTTCACTGCTCATCTGTCACATTAAGGCTTTATATCTTAGCCTTTCTGTACAGTGGACTAAAATCCAGTGGTGGAAAGTACCTGAGCAGCCTACATTTACACAAGTACTGGACTAAATTACAATTTTGAGGTACTTGTACTTTACTTGAATATTCCCATTTAATGTTGCTTTATAGGCTAATTTTACTCAACTATACATTTTGGAGATAAATATTGAAGTTTTAAGACCACTACATTTATTTGACAACTGAATATGATGTATTAGTATAGGTTAAACTACCGAGCAGTGTTTAAAGAAAGTAAAATTACCTCCACCTTTACCGGTTGCAGCATTAAAGCAATGTGCACATTAATGCATCAGTAATTATAATCCTGTAATGTGATATACATTATTGTGAAAAGGTCTGTTCTACATAATAACAACTCATACTTTGGGTACTTTTAAGTATTTTCATGCTGATACTTTTGTACATTTATGTAAATATGATTTTGAATGCAGCACTTTTACTTAATACTTCTTCCACCTATGTTTTATATTCCGTCCATGTTTAATTAACAGTCTTTTTTCTTTGATATGAACACAACAAGACATAAAGTGAACATATATATGGGAGAAAGACAGTAGTGTCAGTAGATATAGTAAATGTTAACAGGGAGAAATACTAAGAAATGTGATTTATGCATCAGTTATATTGAATGAACTGATGAGTACAGTAAGGGTAGGTGTCTGGCTTGTGCATACGTATGTGACTGCACAGGTGAAGTAATGATATGATGGCGTTTTTAAAAGGAAAACTTTCCCCCTTTTCGGCAGAACTGTGTCTCTATTCTACTTGTTGTTCCAGACTGGAAAGATCTCACTCTGGATCCAGACACCGCCCAACCTGAGCTCAGCATCTCTGCAGACTGCACTGAAGCCACTTACATCGAGCACCCTCCATCAGTCCCCGGCCACCCAGAGAGATTTGACCACTGGGAGGAGGTGCTGTGCAGCCAGGGCCTGGATGGTCGTTGTTACTGGGAGCTGGAGTGGAGAGGGCAGCAGGTCTGCGTAGCGGTGTCGTATAAAGGTGTCAGCAGGAAAGGTGGGAGCAACGACAGTCACTTTGGAATGAATCAGCTCTCCTGGAGCTTGGACTGTTTTGACTCTGGTTTTTCTTTCTGGCACAATAATGAACGTACTGATATAAAAGCACCTCCATCGTGGAGGATAGGAGTATTCCTAGACCATGAGGAAGGGACTCTGTCCTTTTACAACATCGCTGACTCAGAAGTTCTCATTCACAGAGTCCAGACCACCTTCACAGAGCCTCTCTACCCAGGCTTTGAATTTTATAATTATGGAGACCATGTTAAACTTTGTCATCTGAAAAATCAGACATGATCAATGGCTTTAATACAGGTTTCTTAGACAGAATTTGCTCATCTTTTTTCTCCAGCAGGAGACTTTTCTGGTGTACAACTCTCAGAAATATTGACTGTGGAAAGATTTTCCATTGTAAATACAACTAAAAGAAATGATGATACATCTTACCACTGTTTAAGATGACCAAGCAAATACAGCTATTTAGCATACTTATTTTTTATTGATTGTTTACTTTAGGTGAATATGTATCTGCAAATCACACAGCAACATCACTTAAAACTGCTCAAGATTCCACTTTATGCAAGTTCATGTATGACGCATACTCTGCATCAACCTTGCTTGTGTTTTTAAGGCTTTAAAACTCTATCCATGGTGTTAATGTCAGCTTTAAAAATTTGCATGTATGTGTCTGTTGTGTGAGAGGGGATGATATAAAATGGGATGCCTTGGTTTTAAAAGTTTCTGAACTACCAGTATAGATATAACAAACGTACAAACCCTCTTTAGGCCAGAAGGTGGCAGCAGATACACTGTATGTAATGATAACTCACAGCCGTGTAACTAAATGTCAAACATGGTGTGTGTAGACTTTAAGTGCTGCAGGCGACTTCAGGTGTTTTGATACTGATTTGACATTTAAAGGTGAATTCCATGTCAAACTTGTTCCCATTGACCTGAAAAAACCTAATACGCAAATTCAAAGCAGTTAAACAAAATCCAAAACATTTGCTTTCCTGTATTTCAGCTCTGTGGCTGATGGGAATTTCAGTTAATTAAAGAGGACCTATTATGCTGTTTTTCAGGTTCATACTTGTTGTTTACCTCACCAGAGCTACTCGACAGGGCTGCGCTCTGTCGCCATTACTTTTTAATATTGTACTGGAACCACTGGCTATTGCCATCAGAGCAAATGCAGCTATTAGGGGGGTGGAAGGAGGAGGGAAAGAGCACAAATTATTATTATATGCGGACGATATTTTGATGCTGATAAAAGACCCATTAAATTCGATACCGCACCTGATGAACACAATACAATCTTACTCCAAACTATCAGGATACAAAATTAACTGGACAAAGTTGGAAGCTATGCCTATATCTGGATTATGCAATTCAAATTCACTGACAAATTTCAGCTTTAAATGGATATCAAAAGGGATAACATACTTGGGAATCAAACTAAGTAGTAAGTAAAGTAGAACCATTTACCAAGTAAATTTAGAACCATTGCTGCAAAAAATTAAAACTAATTTGGATAAATGGGGGAAACATAAGCTTACATTATGGGGGAAGATCAATATGATAAAAATGGTGGTTGCACCGCAATTTAATTATGTGCTCATGATGTTGCCAGTTCTCCTCAGATCTTTAAACAGTATGATACAATAATTAAAGGATTTTTATGGGACAGGAAAAGACCCAGAATTAAATTCAGTAAAATGTGCTCTCCTAGGGACAAAGGAGGTCTGGAGTTGCCAGACCTGAGATTATACTATGTCTCCTTTGAAATGGCCAAACTAGCCAAACACTGGAATAAAGATAACCAGCTAGAGTGGGTTACTATTGAAAATAAGATGTCATCTTCTTTTACTCCTATTGATAGATTGTCCCAGTCCTCACATAATGTATTGAATCCTATTATGTCTCACTCCAAAGAGATCTGGACCAAAATACATAAAATGCATAAATTATCACATTGTAAACAAATATTCTTCTCTGTGGCATAACCCCATGATCAACATTGGAAATACATCAGTATATTGGAAGGAATGGCTCCTTAATGGATTATGTCATATTGCTGACTTATATGAAGAAGGGGTCTTCATGTCATTGTCTGACATAAAAAGAAAATACAATCTTGAGGGAAAGGAACATTTTTGGAAATATCTGCAGATCACGGACTGTATTACCTCCAGGATTCAGTACAAGGATGGAAACCACATCATGGACTATCTCACGTTACCTGCTGAGTGCCACCAAGCCTCTATATTTTATAGAACAACCAACCAACTACTCAGCAATGGCTGTCAGAGCCTGAAAACAATATGGGAGAAAGACCTGGGATGCCTGATGAGTGACGAGGAATGGCTGAGAATTATATCTAATAATGGGACATACATTAGGGAAGCTAAAGGGAAATTTACACAATACAAAATAACACACAGGTATTACTGGATACCACAAAGACTCAACAGAGCAGGTTTAACAAATAATAACCTGTGTTGGAAATGTCAGAAAGACATATGTACTCTGTTACACTGCATCTGGGAGTGCCCTGTCATTCAACCTTTCTGGAAGACAGTTGTGGGCAATTTGAGCAACTGGCTGAGAAGTGATATACCATTATCTCCCAGATTATGGGACAGAAGCCAAATACACATCATATCAAGCGGAGAATTCTCTGTAATCATGGCAGGGATTACAACGGCTGCCAGGACAATACTTAAACTGTGGAACACACACAAACCCCCTGAACTGAAAGAATGGGGAAACACATTTATTTCATTTTTGTTTTTCTATGCCACTGATGGTACATGTAGTGTGTATAACAAGAAATATCTCACAATGTAAAATGTTGTCCTGTCAAACACCAAAGATAAAAGAAATAAAAACTTGAATAATAAAAAAAAAATAAAAGCTTCTAAAACAAAATCTTCACAACCGGATGTGTTCCAACAGAAATATTATCCAAAATCAGGGGGAAATTAACAACTACAGCAACCAAGATTACACGTTTCCCTGACGTCAGCATGTAGCTACATCACTGGTGTCAAAATCATTTTCGGTTCATGGGCCCCATACAGCCCAATTTAATCCGAAGTGGGCCGGACCAGTAAAACCATTGCTTAATATCCTATACATAACAACACCTCCAATTTTTTTTAAATCTCTCCTATAGTGTGAAGACATACAGGAACATCCTGTGCAATTTCAATAATACATCTCAGTTACACAGTCAGTCAGCTACTACTCATCATTACATGTCCATTTTCCAATAAATTTCCACTCCTGTGCAGTAATGCTGTCATCACCACACCAAACTGAAGTGGAAACCACTGAGGAAGCAGATGAAGTTATCTGCGGCCTTACAAACCATTTACAAATCTGAAGTTTTGGCAGTGACTTAGCAATCGTATTGCAACAATATTGTTTTAAGATAGAAGTCTGATAACGATTCTTTTGTACTGAAGCAGCTGACTAACAACACATGTACTCCTTGTTTTTTCCAGAGAACTATATTCTGTAAAGGGTGGAAAAGCCCTGGAAGCAGCATTTTACATAAAGTAAGCTAATCACTGCTCAAGTTGCTCCTGAAAACTTACACCTCTTAGCCAGTGCATCAATATTAAGTGTCCGGTGGGCTGGATTGGACCCTTACGCTGGCCAGTTCTGACCCACGGGCCATATGTTTGACACCCATGAGCTACATGTAGCAGTACTGTACCAGGAGCAGATGACCATGTAGAGAAATCCACCACAACCTGTAGAAAAAAACATTAGGAAAAGGGTTTTTATAACAGTCTGAAACCTGAGGTTTTTGCTCACATGGGATTATTTTTTACAAACGTTCACCTCATTATTTGAAACTTTGGCCACATTTAATATGAACACCTGACACTGTAACATGATATATATATGACAGAAAATAAGAAGCTGTATAATAGGTCCCCTTTCAGGTCTGAGAACAATGCAGCACAGAGCAAATGGGACTTCAGCACCTTGCGTAGTTGCACAGTTTACAGAGTCAACAGATCGCCATTTTGATTGTGCTTTATGTCAACTTGTTGGTTCCTCTCTGCCTCAAAGCTGATTGGTTTCCCTTGTTTAATAGTTTTAGACTACATCTCCTGTGTAGAACTGATATAAAAGCCCTTTGAATCAAGACAGTACAAAACTGACATTGAAAGGTAAAAAGGAGATATGGTATCAACAGCAACTGGTCTTTGTGTCTTAACAGGAAACATAGACAGTGGCAGTATCATGATACGTGGGACAATTCTAATTACTTCCTCCACTTCACGTGTGTCTCTGTAAATAACTAGTCTGAAGATGCTCTGTAGCAAGTTTGGTGTCAGTTGAGCAAAAATTGTGGGAGGAGATAGGTTTAAGAAGTTTTACAGTTTTTGAAAACTGATGAACTTCATAATTTTAAGTGTTAAGTTTCTTCAGTATTGGGGCTACAGTTTGATGAAAGTTGTGAAGTTGTAGCATGTATGGTTGATTTGTTATGAATTTTCAAAGTTTTGAACTTTAGACGCTTGCTGTAGCGCCACCATCAGGACTACTGGCTTGAGTTTACAGCTGAGGATATCTGGCATGAGACTGGACCTTTGTGCAAAGTTTGGTGAGTTTTCACCCATGGGAAGTATGATTTCCTCTGAAGAAGAAAGAAGAAAGAAGAAGAAGAAGAAGACGAAGATGAAGAAGAAGAAGAATACCTAGGATTACAATAGTGTCCTGGCAGAAAAAAATGAAGGTATCAGATGCAGGAAGCAGGCCCCTCACAGCCATATATTGTATGTCATCTAAGGAAATTCCTGTGCCAGAGAGTGCTTCAAATTACAGTAACAATAAGTATAGTAATCACAATTTAACATTCACAACCAGTAACAACCAGTGGGTTCCAGGGGCCAGGGTCACTCACTGGGCCCAGTTTTAGAAATGATAAAGTATCAAATATCTGGCAAAATATACAAGATCAGACGTGTTGTCAAGGAGCAAAAGCAAAAACCAGTACTTAATAGAGTAACAATAAGAGTACGATATGCACAAGAGTTATTATGTCCATATTTGACTTGAGTAAAAGTATCAGTACTACAGTTTAAAAATACTTATAAGTAAAACTCCTGCATTCAATATTTTACTTAAGTAAAAGCACATCATCAAGTGTCAGCATCAAAATATATGCTTGAAGTACAAAAACTAAAGTATTCATTATGTAGTTTGGCCCATTTCAGAGGAATATACAATGGATTATAATTATTAATGCATTAAAGTCACTTTAATGTTGCAGTTGGTAAAGATGGAGCTCATTTTAATTACGTTATATACCACTGGGTAGTTATGTTTATAAGAATATATGATTATTTTTGTTGATTTATATTTTGCATTATTAATCTGAATTTGTAAAGTAACTAAATGTAGTGGAGTAGAAGTATGATGGTGCATAAACTGGAAATACTCAAGTGAAACACAGCTCAAAACTGTACTTACATACAGTGGTCAAGTGAAAGTGCTTAGTAACAGTCCACCACAGATTGTGACAGTTAACTGCAACATGCCTGTTGTCCACATCTGTGGTATTTCGAAAACGTTAGACGTTAGTGATGAAATGCTTCTTTCCTCATTTCCTGTAACAACCTGATAAGTAGCTCCACAGTTTAGTTTCTCAGTGAGGCTACACTAACAGGCACAGTGAGGTTTTGAGCTGCATCTGCATGCTAACATGCTCACAATGACAATGCTAACATGCTAATGTTGTCATGTGTAATGTTTAACATTTTATTTGTGTCAGCAGGCTAACATTTGCCAGATGGCGCTAAACACGAAGTGCAGCTGAGGATGATGACAATGTTCGTTTGTTTGTTTGTTTATTAGGATCTCATTAGCTTTTGCATTGCAGCAGCTATTCTTCCTAGGGTCTTGTCATTTGCAAGTATTGGACAAGCTGTAATGTTGACTTGGTGATGGCGCAACATGAAAAGTCAGTGGATCAATATTATCCTCTGGTGATCATAAACATCCGTGCCAAATTTTACGCCAATATATCCAGTGTTTGTAACAATGTTTCAGTTTAGAGCAAAGTGGTGGACAACCTGTAGATGCATTCATCCTCCCAAGTCAACCCATTTGCCAGAAAAAAGAATTGGCATTGGCAGATACGTTACATTAGCACATTATTATGCAGTGGATATGTTTTGGTTAATCTGTAGGTAGTTTTAGGCATGAAAACCATTTGGTCATGGATAGGAAATTATCAGGTTTCGGAAATACCTGGTTTGGGAGCGTAAGTGGCAATATTTCTGTGAAACAAACCACTTTTTGTGGCACTATCCTGGCAGAAAACACAGAGATGTCTCAGTTTAAAAAAAAAAAAGTGTCATTTTTGTGGCATTATCCCGGCTGTAATACTCACTGTATGTGGTTTGCTAAAAAAAACACCCACATTAGGGAGCTGAATAGCTGCAGAAAACACAGCTATGGGTCCCTCAGAAACATACATGTTTGAGGGCTGAAAAGCCATGGGTGCCTAGAAAATGCCTGTGACTGGGGCTAAAAACCTATTGGAAAAACAACCATGGGCCCCCTACTGAGCATCCACATTTGGGCGGCTAAAAAGCTGCTGGAAAAACAGCCATGGGTCCCTTAAAACAGTGGTTCCCAACAGGTGGGTTGTTGTCCAAAAGTGGGTCACGGGACCATTCTGAATAGTCCATGAGTGACTTGCGAACAAGTTTGTAAAAACACACTTTATTTTTAAGTACAGTGAACTTCCACCACAGAGCTTTTATCTTGAAGTGCTGTTTCCTGCTGCAGAGTGAGTGACTAATGAACAGCTACTTGACAGAGACAGCAAACTAGCTCGACGACATGGCTGAACGCAAGTGTGATGCTGAATGTATTAAACTGTGTGGCCCTTGAGCTAATGACTGAGGAGAAATCTGGATTCCGTGGCTGGACCAGTTGGGAACCACTGCCTTGAAAACACCTGCAATAGGGGACTGAAAAGTCACTGGAAAAACATTTGGCAGATGTCTCCACTATAGGTGTCATGGCATTCACCATGCCTTCCAACCGCCCCATGACAATGTCACCTCATGTAATGTGTCATTTTAGAAGTATTGCTATGATGAAATGTACAAATGAAACGTACAGATTTGTGGTTTGCAGAAATGTACACCGCCAACATTTCCTTCTGGCGACTGGGCTGCCCAAGTCATAAGACACACTGCAGCAGATGCACAAAAGAATAAAGTAATAAAGGAGAACACAAAGTCTGCTTACAAATTTAATAGAAGGAACAAAATTCTGATACAAAACCAAGCCAAGAAGGTAAAGTTAGGCCTACTTCATCATTTAAGGGAGGGTTAGATTTGTTACTTAACAACTTCCATTGCTGGAAAAGGGAGAAAAGTATACAAATCAGCACCACAGTGGAACAATACTCAGCACTTAAGCATTGCAAGTAGTAGTACAAGCTGTGGGGAATGAAGGACTCTTAATTTTACATGACCCTAAATCAACAATCTCATGATCTCATTAAATGTTTTCCAGTAAAACCAAAACCGAACTACTGCTTATCACTGTCATACTGCACAAATTACTTCATTTCACGTCATTTCATAACTCAGTGCGTCTAATGATGCAAACAACAACAAATGGGCCCAGGCCACACCATGTCCCGGAGAACAGCAAACACTTTGTGTGGCGAGATTCTATTTAGTACCATAATGGGAGTCATGCGGATTCACTCTTTGCAACAGGACGCTGGTGAAAAAAAGCATGTCTTCGGTCCTTATAGAACGTCTCTGTGCGCCGATGAGGAGTTTGTCAACCTATAAAGACGAGGCTCTCGAGCATGTCAGCCATTATTCCAAAGAGGAGCGACAGCACACCACAACCGGACTCAATTTTGATCAGAAGTCTGACTCGAGCAAAAACATCACAACCCTGAAGCCATTTATTGCGCTTAAATCCTTCTGCATGGACAAAAGGTGAGCTTTTACTTCTATGGTTTCTCACTGGATTGCAGAACAGGGCACCTGTTTATTCACATGATATTTTATTACTGCATGTGCTAACCACTGTAATTTAAATAAAAAATGTTTTTGTATTTCCATGATATGCTGGGAGGTTTATTGTGTCCTAAAGGTCAGCCATCATTATGTGTTAAGCTCTCCTGCAGGGTGTGTGAAAAGCTGCCAGGTTTGAGACCTCTAGCCTGAAAGCAAAACGTGGGAGGAAGTTTTGCTCATTCATTCTAGAATTTAATATTAGTCAATCACGCACCTTGTGAGTTCCCAGGAAAGTTCCCAGGAAAATATTAAAGCAAAACGTGGGATGAAGTTTGCTCATGTAATTCCAGAATTTAATATTAGTCAATCATGCACCTTGTGAGTTCCCAGGAAGATGTTTTGTTGCTTATTTACAGTAAGGCGTGTACAAACACAAGGCAATCCGGGGTCCAACTATCATGAGCTTCCATAAAACATCTGTGTCCTTTGTGCTGATCAGCGTGACAATATGTAAGTATCTTTCCCACATCTTTCTTTCTCCCTCTTTCTTTTGATGCGTCCCTCCCAAATGTGATAGACAATGTATTCTTTCTTCCGTCTTTGTGTCCATTTTCAAAGGGTTTATTATCTTCCTGTTCTGCCCCCGTCAACTGAGAGCACAGCTGGGGACTACCCCCAACATTAAACACATTGTGGTTGGAAGGTGTTACAGTTACATCACACTGGTTAACCCCAGCTTAAGGTAACTCACTGAGTGACTTTTACTCCTGTTATAACATGTCCAATCTTGAGCAGGACTTAAATTCCATGAGCTTTAGCACCCATGACTTGAGCCTCAAAACTTAAAAGACTTGATTTCCTCCCAGAGAGGACGAATTTTGGCAGCCGCAGAGCAAATCATCAGGGCAGTGCTGTAGCCCACATGAAGGGCATGGCTTGTTATGATGTGACGTTGAATGAGTTTTTTCTTCTCTGTGCTTCTGTCGAAAGATAGAAACTGAGACAGATGTGGGAACTGTGGAAAGAGGGCATGTAGTGATACGCTTTTATATAAAAAGAGTTTAATTTCATGGTAAATTCTGTCTGCATGTTTACACAACTCTATTTATAAATGTTAAGTTTGGTACCATTTGCTTGAAGTGGGAATTATATCCAGCACCAGCCCTCTGGCACACATGTAGCAGAAACACTAGGGCAAATGACCAAGGATTATTTTCATCATTGATTAATCCATGGATTAATTTCCTGGTTTTGAAAAATGTCTATCCCAGAGCCCAAGGCAATGACTTTCAGTGTCTTGTTTTGTCACACCAACAGTCCAATATATCCTGTCCTCGTCTTACAGATATATATATTGTGGTGGCATTTTCTACTGGACAAAACACATCAAGTCAGAAACTTGTCTTTCTGTAAGTTCAACTCAGGGTCCGCAGATTAACTCAAAACAAACAGTCAAGAATGAGCTGAGTGCAAAGAGTGAGCCCTGAACACATGAGATGTCAAATACTAATACTCACTGACAGCTGTTGAGGTCAGGGATCTTTAACTAGCATCACCAGAGGGGGTGACAAAGCAGTTTGGGCCAACTTATTTAGTCATGTCACTGGACATCAAGTAAAGCACTCACAGCTTGTTACACAGTGACAAAGAGTAAACTTGAGGATACATTTGCTCGCTTCATAGGTCTCATATCAATGTTTCTGTAGTGACATAGTATATGAGCTAACTTTGTCATCAGGAGGTGGAGGGGATAGTGGATGGTGCGCCACCTATAGGCGAGATGCCAAGCTGCAGACCACTGTTCAACACCAACAAACAGCAAACTTGGTTGTTTTTCAGCAAGTAATTGCTATTTACAGTGGCTTTTTGGACACAAAATGTCTGTGTTTTAGCGACTTGTTGCTGTTTGTGCCACAAAAAGCAACCATTTTTTAGTTAGACATCACTTCGAAAATCTGTCATGCTGTGCTCCCAGCAGCTTTGCTACCTCCAACCTTGCGTTTTTTAACAACCCGTTGACTTTTATTTCAGCAAGGATAGTGGTATGAAAAAAAGATTTTTTTTTTACGGAGACATCTCTGCTTTTCCAGCGAGGATCATGCCCCCACAAACTGGATATTTTAGGCCAAAGCACGTTTTCCTAATGATGTCTAAATCTAACCACACCTTAACCACAGTAGTGTTGAAAAGTAAAGTTTTAGTGCATTTGCTACATAATATTGTGCAAATGTAAAGTATCCGTGGTTTGCAGGAACGTACAATGCCAGTATTTCCTCTGGTGATTGGCTTGTTGCAATTGTCTACGTCCCAAACCTCACCTACGGTCATGAGCTTTGGGTAGTGACCAAAAGAATGAGATCACGGATACAAGCAACTGAAATGAGTTTCCTCTGTGTGGTGGCTGAGCTCAGCCTTAGACATAGGGTAAGGAGTTTGGACATCTGGATAGAGCTCAGAGTAGAGCTGCTGCTCCTTCATGTCGAAAGGGGTCATTTGAGGTGGTTCAGGCATCTGATCAGGATGCCTTCTGGGCGCCTCGCGTTGGAGGTGTTCCGGGCACATCCAACTGGTAGGAGGCCCCGGGGTAGACCCCGAACACTGGAGGGATTACATATCTCATCTGGCCTGGGAACGCCTTGGGGTCCCCCAGGAGGAGCTGGAAAGTGTTGCTGGGGAGAGGGACGTCTGGGGCACTTTGCTTCACCTGCTGCAGGCAACTAACCCCTTTAGATGCGAAGGAGCACTGGCTCTACTCGGAGCTCCCTCCGGATGTCCGAAGCAAAGCCTCCTACCAGTGGGGCGTGCCCAGAACACCTCTAAAAGGAGGTGCCCAGGAAGCATCCAGATCAGATGCCCGAACTACCTCAACTGACCCCTTTAGACACGAAGGAGCACCCAAATAAGCAGAGAGAAATGGATGGATGGATGGATTGGCTTGTTTTTATCCGACCAGCACCTAAAAACTCAAAGATATTCTATTTATTCTGATAGAAACAAAATCAGAGACACAGAAAATCTTCACATTTGAGAAGCCATTTTTGTGTGTAACAGTTAATCAATTATCAGAAATGTTGCAGGATAATTTTCTGTCATTATTGACTAATCTTCCTGTGCAGGTACGACTGTGAGGAGATCTGGAGACAGTTTGAGGAGGCGGTTGTCCATCAGTCCTCTTGTAATGTGACAGTGGAGGATTATTATCACATGTTTTATGCAATGCCACAAACCTGGCCCTGTGATAGGGTGAGGAAGAGCTCTGGAATTAGATACACATTCATCATTATTCATTGGAGGGAAAATCTTTTGAGGTAAGCTGCTTTATATTTCCCTTTCCGTCTGTTTAGTTCCTCTTCTGGAGTAAAACCAGGACGCTGATGCACAGCTACGCAGCTGTTTTACGTCACCTCTGGACCCTGGAGGACACGCTGGTTGGCTACATGTTCAACGACCTCATCTGGTGTGGACAAGACGAAGACTCTGGTAGATGTTTTCTGGTTTATCACGACCCAGATGACTAAAACGTATATGCTTGTACTAGCTGAGGAAAGCAACTCCTTGTGACCCCTCATCACAGGTTCAATTTATCTATAGTCTGGGAGCAGCTTCACCAAAGAGAGTCTCGTTCCTCAAAAACATTCACAAGAAAGCAAGCAAAGATTAGAAAAACGTCTGGACAGTCTGAACACAAAGTCTGAGCAACAATTATCGTCTTTCCTGTGCAATTAATTGCCACACAAAGCCTCCCATTTATCATTTGAGCAGTTGAAGTGGTCCTGACCCTCAGGCTGGGAAGCACTTCAGTGACCCAATCATGATATAACATTTCCTGGAACTCAGTTTGTTGTTTAATGACATGAAGTACCAAAAAGGATACAATCGCATGTTGTTATTGGGATAAAATACATGAAACTAAACAACATTTAATTCCAATTTAATAGAATTTTAATTCAATTCAATTTTAATTTGTTATTTTCAGCTCCTTTAAAATATCACTGACAACCTTCGCTAACAGTTATCATGTAATATATATTTTGTAAGTGTAATTTTTCACCTATTTACCTTGCCATCAGACATCCTGTTTTGACAGAGAAACCATTAACAGCTTCAGTTCCCCATCTACGCACTCTTTAAAGCCGCCTGACCTCATATACAAAAACTGTTATTTAAGCTTGTTCAACAAGCTTAAATAACAGTTTTTGTGGGGCTGCTGGCCAACCACTGCCTCAATCGGTTAGTTTGTTTGTGTTGTGGACTTTTGTGTATCTGAAATTACCACTTTGAAATGCCAGAGTCACACACTAACACAAACAAAGTGACTGATTGAGGCTGCAGTCAATCAGCAGCATCTGTGTTCAGCTGTGTTAGACAATTACTCTTTCTCAATAGAGTCTGGTTTTAAGAGAGCAATATCATGGCTTCATTTCTGTGTTACATAATGGCTGTCTGACAGCAGGGTGAAGTGGTAAAAATATCCTAAATATGGTGTAGACTTTGATTAAGATTGATTTCTATAGGTGGCTAAAATACATTTTGCTGTTGATCCCGTCCACAGCAGTGCATTCCCTAGCTTCCATGGTGGTACTCCTGCCTGCTTCTCCAAACTGGGGGCATGCTGACCACCATCTACTGTGGGTAATACACTGACCATATAATAGTACTTCATACAACCCTGCTTCAAAAATGCTAACTATCTCTTTAAAGCTAATCAATATTTCTATATTGACAATGGATCAAATGACCCCTGTGACATGAAAGAGGTCAGTCATAAGGACAGACTGCTCCACTCAGCTCTACAGAGCATTTTAGCGTCTTTTAGCATATTCTTTTGGTTTTACAGCTTGCAAATTTACTGTTGTTATCAACAGCAGCAGCAGCAGGCAGATATTTCCAGTTAAAAAGCTTAAAACATTGACACTATACGCTACCTGTCCAGCACCAAACAGCACACAGACAAAGGTAGCAACTAGCTGGAACACAGTGAGGGATTTAGCAGCTAACGAGCCACGCATTTCCCTCAGGAGTTGGTAGAGACCAAAAACAGAGCAAAAAAATAAAACTTTCACAAGAGAGTGAAGACTTATTTGCACTATAGTGGATAGAAACATAACTCCAAATAAATAATCCATCTCTGCTCACGGGTGGATTATTTCATAATGGGCCCTTGGGTACAGATATGCAAAAGGCCCCATCACCTCTATTTCACAGACTTTGGGGTGGGTATTTTTTGGTCATTTTGTCCCTTATAGTAGTTATTTTGTGTCTCTTTGCAGTTCCTTTTATCTCTTTGTGGTCTTTTTGTGTCTCTTTGTGGTCATTTTAAATATCTCCTTGGTCAGTAAGTGTTAATTTGTATGACATTTCACATAGGCCCGAGGGGTCTAACAGTTTGTACCCTCGGGCCTGTGCTCAGTAGGCCTGTTTAGTAATCCAACAGCTGGTTGTGTAATGAAGAAAAAGTCTTGGTGGTTTTTGGCCAAAATGAAATCAGTTAAGGCCTCTTCACAGCATCTTTACAATCTTAAAAGGAAGTGTATCCAATGATGAACACATTTTTCTTTCATTCATGTTTTTACAATGAGAAACATGTAGAACAGATCACAACATCATTGCTCAGGCAGCTGCAGCTGTTCTCCCAAATGTTTCTGTGTGCCTGCAGGTTTTTCTTTTCATTTATTACAGTAGTAATGTCGCTGCATGTTATCACAACACCTTAACTTGCTCTTCTCACTATATGTCTAATGTGAACAATATCAAGGTGGTGACACTTCTTTTAACTAATTGCTCTGAATTTAACACACAGGTTTTGATTTCAGTTCTTGTCCGGAGTGGTCGGCCTGTAGGAATCATCCAGTGCATTCTTTGTGGAGGCAAGCCTCACAAAATGTGAGTTTAATGTCCAACACACACAGCTGTCATCTAAATGCAACATACTGCTCCAAGACCAGCAGTGGAATAATTATTCTCGTGTGATTTTCCTCACCTCTTTGTTAGTTTGCAGAAATGGCATGTGGCAACATCACTGTGTTACTGAATGGGTCTATTGTCAACGCCTTCAATAGGAGAAGGTAAAAAGGAACTGATGAAAGATTTTAGCAGTGGTGTTTGTTAGATATGTATAAAATAATCTTTTCTTTTTTTATCTCACAGCATGTTTGGAAGTGTTGAACTGGACGGTCTGAACCCACGCAGAGTGAATTATGTCAACATAAAGGTGGTGACCAACCTGGAGGGACCTTCTATGTGAGAATAAAAACAGCTCATTCTTTGATTTAGTAAAATGTTACTTTCACACAAAAACAGTACCTCTTTCCAATAAGTCACACGTCAAGTATGTTTTTTTTAAGTGGTAACTAACGTGTTATCTATCATTTCATGCCAGTGCTTTATGGATCAATTTTAAGCAGTGAACAAGCAACTCAATCGGCAGAATAAATGTTGGCATTGTGTGTTCTGCAAACCATGGATATGTTATAGTTATACATTACGTAGCCGATACATTGAACCTGCTGTTGGTGCCACCATTCTGGCAGGAAATGCAGTGATGTTTTGATAAATTTCAGCTGCGTTTCATGGCACTATTCCCACTGAACAGAGTGGCCTGGCAAACATTGTGATGGAGAAACATTGTGGTGGGGAAATAGATGTCGTTGGCAGAACAAAGTGTGGTAGAATGCCAAGTAAGATGAAGATATGCCCGAGTTCTGGAAATGTCAGAAAATCACACCCACACACACATACACACACGGAAAGTTAGGTATGATGTTTATCTGAGGAGGAGTATAGGAATGTTTGGTGAGCTGCTCTACGGGGCTGTCTCATTGTTGCCATTCTCAGAACCCATCGGCTGTATTCGGCGTCTGACTTCCGGTAGACGGCGATACAGCCTCTGGGGGCAGACCCCCGATTTTTTGGCATTCCGGTTTGATTTGGGCGGAGGAGGCGAATTTCCGTTTCCAACTTCCGTTGATATATAAGTAAATATGCTGAATCATTGCGATGGATTCATAATTTGCAGTCACGCCAATTATGTTCCTCCTCATTGGTTCACCGCATGGACCGTTTAACCTGGCAACAACTGCAGCCGACTCAAACGTGATTAGTCAACATCATGCGGACTACAAACAGCCTACAACCGGAAACCAGGTCTCTTCCGCTCTTCTTCCGGAGGCAAGATCTACAGACTCTACATACACTGAATGTAGAGTCTGTATATAGAGACTACGTTGTTGCTGCATGTGAAGTTTGCTGTATGTGAAGTTTGTATTTGTGTCTTCAGTAAAACCCTGTAAAGGCTGCAAGATTGATCCTTTGTCAAAAGACTCCCTCTTCTACAAAACAAAGCGATTGGTTCCTATTAAACACCCAGGTTTGGTGGCTAAAATGCAGCTGAAATTGTACAGATGATGCGCAAAGATTGAACCAGTTTTGTTATTTGTTGGTCTCAAACAGTGGTCTGAAGTGCAGCTTGGGAACATTTTACTTCAATGTCACACTATCCACTATCCCCTCCAGCTCTCAAACAAAGTCAAAGTCATCTCATATACTACATCATATAGAAAAGTTAAAAGATATGTATGAAACATATTAATGTAACATATCCATAGTTTGCAGAAACTTAAAATGCCAACATGTTCTTCTGGTGTTGTGGAATAAAGAGGCTCAAAACACATAGGACTGGGCATATGAGGCTTTACTTGCAAGAAAGCCGCAGCATTGATACATCATGACAATTTATAGTATCTAACAAACAAGCAATATTAGCTCACAAATATGAAACACTCCTACACTCCTCCTAGAGGGGCTTCCTGTCACTTAAGCTGCTGCTTACTGTTATCTAGATAATCAGTTCTGGGAACATTTGCGTCTCCTTACACACCCAGTTTTGGTCAAAGTCACTTCAGGTCATCTGCGCGACATATTCCTCCCCCACCTATCAATTAAACAGTCATTTAAACAATTAAAAAAAAAATTAAAATTAAAACATCAGTTAATGCAAGTGCAGGCAAAAACCCAACAGTCTGTCACCCTCTTCAGTTAACATCTGTGTGGTTGTTGGGTAATTGGGTTACAGTTAGGGTTGAAAATTGATTGGATACATAAAACACCACAACTGCTGTACAGGAAATCAGTAGATACTTCATGGTACATGGTTATAAGGAATGCTTGTTATTTTGCGCTAACTGATCAAATGATGACACCAGAAACCCACAATGAAATGTCATACAGAATATAATCCCTTATCATATCATATTACATTGTATTAAATTCATTTACAAGAGGTAGAGAATTCATGGGCAATCATACTTGCCATCCTTGCACACTGCCATAACCGTCATCCTCATTGGTCACCTTTCTGAAGCTCCATGTATTGTTTAACATATTCTGAGCCATCACCATGGTGAGAGATTCCAGAACTTTGAAGCATGGCGATTTCAATCATATCCTCTTTAAAACATTTCTAAGTTCACCTGAATTTCAGGGTTCAAAACTCACCACTCCTGACTCTGCTGAGCTGTTTTCTATATCTTCCATATAATCCGGAATAGGGAACAAATCTGACTGTCCAATTACCATGTCAGTGAGTTGAAACTCTGCCATTTTAGTGGTTGTCACAACATTCATCTTTCATTCATACTGCAAACATTTCTAAGATTGGGTATGATGCAGCTAGAAATAACTAGAACTAGGATTCTATTAGAACTAGGACTATTAGTGCGGTTATTCTTATCTTTGCCAAACTTGCTCTCCACTGTCCGAGTTTCAATTCCAACCAATCCAATCATGATCCATCTTTGCCTTTTACCACTTCAGATCTATAAGTTTGGACATGACTATAGAGAAGGTTCCATCAGGTGCAGTGTTATGGGTTATAGAAGTGCAACATTTTTCTTCAAACATTTGACATAACCCACCTCTATTAAGCTAACATCCAGTCTAAGGCTTGTGTGTTTTGCCAAGCCACCCTACTTATTTCTGTTCTCCCAGCACTCTAAGGGCTTCATTAGGATAGTTAATGAACCACTGGAATGTAATCTGTTAATCCAAGCAACATTTTTTGTTTGCTGTTACCCAAAGAAACATGGACTACTGTATATACCAGCCTTCATTTCATTACTTGCTTTTTGCTCTTTTTAGGATGTTGAAATCTAGAATTCAGCACATAAGTCATGAAACATATAAAATGGTTTTAGCAAATTATGACTTCTTTGCGAGCCATAGAGCAGTCTACATTGTGTGCCACATGTTGGTAAAAATTCTGAATCCCCCTGATATGGGAGTGAGATTTTTTCTTTGCACTCCCTTTGCTGCACTTTGGCAAACTTCAAAATGAGGTTTTTTTTGGGATGACCGTTGGCAATGTAGTTGGGGCTCCCACACAGACTATATTAGGTATCATCTCTTTTACAGTATACCACAGCCATTATACCACCCATTCTGATTGGCTGGCTCCCAGTCACTGTCTTGTATGGTTTTGAAGCTCCTCCTGTCTGTAGGCAGAACTGTGCTTTGAACAGTTCCTGGAAGTTATCTCTAAATCCCTGGAGTTGTCTGCTTTGAAAATGAATGCACTGTTGCTAATTATGCATGGAATTACTATGCTGTCCTTGCTTATAAGGGTTGGGCTTGTGATGGCTGTATTTACGTGAAGTATGTTAGTGTCTGTAACAATGGTCCTAGTTATTTCTTAAATTTCAAATTCAAAGACATTATTGTCATCCACTGTTTTAAGAGCGCTCCAGGGTATTGAAGTTCTTGTACTTCTTCCTGTCTTGGTTACACTTATAAACTCAGGGTCATATTCTTTGTTTATCACTGCTGTGTTTATTTCTAAAAATCCACATGCCTATTGCATACATGTCCACATCATATTCTTCAGGTTACTTTGTTGTTACACCCCCCAAATAATAGTATCTCCAGTCACACAATACAGAATCCCAAAAATCAACAACTGTATCATCCCTAAAGGTAATTACTCTGTGAGTCACATTATCTGTTAGGTTTTGAGGTGGAAATATTTTCTCATTTTTTCAGACGTAGTATAGCTTCTTTCTTTTTTTTTGACAGCAGTTCTGGCATTACTGATTCATTTGATTTCGGAGTTGTTATGTCATAAGACTGAAAGGTCACTGCGTCTTCAGGGATTGGGGTCACTGCATCCTCAAGGTTTGAATGTGAAATATTGCTAGCTCTTGGCTCTAATACATCTCTGGGTTTTGGAGTACTCTGTGATAATTTGTCATGCTCTGATTCAAGGCCAATTCTTGCCAGACTGAATGGGTGCTCTTCCTCTATATAGCACTCATAGTCTGAGCTCCACTGTCCCCCAAATGTCACCTCAATTCTTCACCTATTGAATGCTTAATATACAGTAATTTTGCACTGATCTGCTCCCCATACAGTACTTTTCCCCTATTCTCATTAATGGTTTATAAGATCTATAAAGCATTATTATCAACCATTGATATTGCCATTAGTTACAGCTTATTTATCAGAAGATGGAAGAATTCCCTTTGTGTTCCTCTTTTGCAGAGAATCATGCAGTGAAGGATCTATTATGGACCTGATCCAGATCCTCCAGTCCAGAGGTTTCCGCTGGACCTGCACAGACAACGACCAGTAAGTGACATCCAACAAGTCTTTTAAACTAAATGACAAAATCCCAAGAAAATGTTGGCGTTACACATTTCTACAAACCACAAATATGTTACATTTCAACTTTTCACATGAATCATATCAGCGTTTCTAAAGCGATGTAATACATAGCTGATAGTTGACAATGGGAGGTGGAGGGGATGAATGATGGCATGTAACCTAAGTAAGATGCCTGCTAAGCTCCAGAACACTATTAAAAACCAACAACACTGGTTGTTTTTGGCTACCCTCTGTGGCAGTGTTTATGGCATTGAACCTGGGTGTTTTATACCCACAGATCGCACCCTTTCCCAGCGGCCTTTGTGCTACCAAACCTTAGCGTTTTAAGCCAAAAAAAAAAACAAAAAACAAAGAAGCATACCTTTACCATAGCGTTGTTGAGAAAGGTTAAGTTACAACATATCTGCTAAAAATAATGTACAAATATAACACATCTATGGTTTGCAAAAATGTATGATAGGAACATTTTTTTTGGGGGGGTTGAACAAACCATAGAAGCGTTTGCTGTTCTGATTTAAACGGACAGAGAGATAGACAAGATGTGATACAGATACAGATGTTGTTTCTGGATTCATGATTGAACTTCCTGATGAACGTGCCCTGGAGTAACATATCTAATATTTGTCCACAGGACCCTGATGATCCTTCAGTGTATCCAGAACCCTGAACAGTCCTCCTGCCAAACATGTGCAAACAAAAACCTCACACAGAAAGAGCCTCACATTTAACTGAATCACCCACAGATTCAGCATGTGTTCTGATATTGTCATTTGAAGTTGGATAAAATTAAAATTGCTGCTCAAAACATTTCCTGAATTAAAGCAGAGTCTTTTCTTGATAGTCTATACTTTTCATTGATGCCATTTCATTAGCAGATTAGAGCACAGCCTCTCAGAGTGCAAAATGTATCTGCTTCTGAAGCCATAAGCTTTTGCTTTACTGTCCAGTAGATTATGCTAATTTATTTTAAATTACAGAGGGTGAAATGTAACCTGACGCACCTGATTGGTTATTACACAGAACCATCTGAAAAGCTGTCATTATAAACTGTTTGGAAATGGGAAGGCGCTTTCAAAACATACTTTGCAGGTGACTGGATGAACCAACTTTTTATCATTGTCTATAACGGGCCAGAAAAGGCAAATTAACAGTCGCTTCCTCCTCCTTGTCATCACACACACACACCTAAATCACACCTGTAGTTGACATTAGCTCCTCACAGGATGCTGATTGGCTGACACAAACACATTACTTGAGGCCTGAGAGCATGGTCACACATTGCTAAAATTAACATTTTGAATTAACATCATTCACTTTCATTCAGTGTGAGCGAAGGGCTGAATAAGACATTCACTTCTGCTGACAAAGCAAATTTGCATCTTCACATTGCCTGGACTTCAACTTTGGTGAACTTTGGCCTGTAAAGTCGCAGCCTCAACCAACAGCAAAGGACTATGTGTGGAGGAAACACTGATTGTTGTCATGTTTAACCAGCCGATATTGTATGATAATGGCCATGAAAAATACAAACTGTCCCATATGAGAGATGCTGCCTGACCAGCAATGAGTTGGCAGACAGGCATAGAACATAAGAAAATAAAAAATGTACCAATAACATAATTTCAGTCAGGAACACCTTAGTCAAAGAAAACTTTATTTCCATTTGCAGTATTATATTTGGCAGTATGGCTCTGTTCTGGGGCCCCTCTGCCTTTTCTTGGGCCTATGCAGAAAACCTCTTCCATGCCTGGAGAGCACACCTCTCTGCCCTTCCATGCGCCTACATGGAAAGCCTAAGGCAGAAAAAGCAGCAGTAAAGACCCCCCGGGAACAGAACAGAGCAGCATCAATGACAAACAGATATGACGTTGATAAGTCAGACACAACGTGAAAAGGAGGAGCTGGGGTGGAGGCAGGTTGCAAAGTGGCTTGTAGAGGAAGCAGCAACAGTAGGCAGGCCAGAGCAGTTTAAATAGAGCGCCCTGAATGAGATTCGCCAATTGGTTGCATAGAAAGGAATCATGTGATCTATCAGCTGACTCCCTTCCATCAATCAGCTGCTCTATCAGTTGATTGGGCTGTTTGAGATCAGCTGATGTAGCTGGGATGTGTGCTGAGCTTGACATCATGTCCTGTCTGAACTAATGCTATGCTCAATATTTGGCAGTATTAGCAAGCTTACTAAAGCCCCTTTTCCACTGCACAAAAAACCCCACTAACACCTCCTAACATTTGGCTTTTTTTATTTAATGGGAAAGGTTCTGATCAGCATTCACTGGCCTTCATAAAACAAAAATCCAGCTGACATAATAATGGTATCAGAGTTGGTCATTGTTACCTAATATTGAAGCTCTATCTGTGTCCAAATCTAGTTTCAGTTTGGTGCTTGTAATGTTGTATGCATGTTCCTAAATCGTGGCTGATGAACCATGACGGGGGATTAACTGAAGTCCAGTTGCTCATTTTTACCCTTGGCCTCACCACGGTGTAGTACAACCATGTCTTTTTCTACTGTCTGTGTTTGTGGGATCAAAGGTCACAAGGGAAATATGCTGATCCTGAACCCTTGTACAATCTAGAAGAGTTAAGAGTTGCAAGCACTGAGTTTTGCATGCTCAGTTTTCATCAGTATTAACCCCCCGGTACTGACACACCCATATGCAGTGTGCAACCTGACCTTGCTTATTACAATTTCACAATAGATCCTGTATGTGTCAGAACCACAGTTTCATTTGAACTTTGAGACATGATATACTTAACACTATTGGAGACGTAAGAGATACTCAGATCTTTTGCATGTAAAAGTACCAATACCACAGTGTAAAATTACTCTGTTACAAGTTATGCATTCACCATTTTATTAAAATGAAAGTATAAAGGGTTTAGCATCAAAATATGCTTAGAGTACCAAAGGTAAAAGTACTCTGGGAGCCCATTTCAGAATTACCGATATAGATTTTTATGGTATAGGTTAATTAGAAACATTAACAAAATGATAAGCCCACATTATTGGATCATTAAGACACTGCACATCCTGCAAAAGAGACATGAAGAACCTGTTTACTGAAGCGGTTAACCTTTTAGTTGTTAAAGGTCTGTGACATTTGGCAACATGTTCACTGCTGATGGATATCCCACAACCTTTGAGTCTGCAGACATCATCAAGCAGCTGATTATCATTTCCTCACATGAACTTCACCCAGCTTCTACTTACAGACGTGCCAGAAGAGGTGAAAGAGCAGCCAAGTTTAAAATTACAAGTCAAGGCTGGGGCAAGCACGTGAATGGTCCAAACTTGTTTATGCCTGCACCGCAAGTATATGTGTGTGTTTTCTGAATGGAGTGCAGCAGGTAGGGGGTCCCTGTAGCCAAAGCTGTATCTACCACTGGCGGGAAATTTCAGTTCAATCAGGAGAGAGAAGAATGAAGTAAAGATAATATGTAGTACAGAATATGATTGTACAGATTAACAGATGATTTGTACTGATTAAGATTTAACAGAAGTCTACGGCGCTTGGGCACCTGAGGATGATATTTTGTGATTGAGGGACATCTGAGCGGCAAATCCCTCCATGGAGTCCAGACACTGGTGGTGGCTGCTGACTCTGAGGCTGCTGACTGCTGAGGCGGATGAGGCTGATGAATCCGTAAAGATCAGGTGGTGATGGGGAGGGAGAGGGCCTCCATGACGGCAGCAAGAAAGAACGACGGCAGAGAAAGAACCATATTTAAAATGAGGAGCAGTAGGATGATAGACTGACAGAAAAGGTGTGTCTCTGTGCTATTGGTTGATTGTGAATGGGCTGATGACTCAAATGACCCACCCAGACAATGACACCTAGAGATAGAGAGTGAGCATGTGTGCAGGGAGTAAATGGCAGGGTGAGAAAGAAACTTACTTTCTGAGCATGAAAAGTATTGTCTTTCTGACTGAACTTTCGCTAGAGCTTCATTAGTTAGTGAACAAATGGCATGTATATTGTAGGCTGATCCCACATTTTCATATTTTATACATATTCAGATATATTATATTTAAATTTGACTGATTAAGGTCAGCAAAAAATAAACATACTTCATGACAAGTCCGGCACAATTAAAAGTAAACATGTGTCTAAATGATTAAAAGTAAAAGTAGTCATTATGCAGAACTCACCTTGTCAGTGTTATACTGCTTACAGCAGTACTTGAATGTTGTATTTGGTTGAGGTGGGGCAAATTTGAACTGTGTTATGTATTGCTGGGTTGTTTAATCTACTACAATGCCAGCCAACATTTGTGTTGTGGGGCCCATGTGGGTAGTAAATGAGCTGAAAAATGGGCCCTATATGGGCATGTTCGAGGGTTCCATAATGGAGCCATGCCAACCACCACATGGGTGGTTTTACTAAAGTGGGCCCAAGATATCCATTTTGGGACAATACCCACTTGGTACCCAGGTAGCTGCAGCATAATCTATGTAGGGCCCACTTGGGTAAATCCACCTATGTGGGCAATTAGTATGGGGCCAATATGGAATTCTTGAACAAGCCCATTTAGGGCCCATTTTTTAAGCTCATTTACTATCCACCTGGGGCCCACATACAAATCCTGACTGGGATCTTTTAAAGTTAAGATGAATAGCACTTAGTAATAACTGCAGTGAAGCTTTTTGCAGGGTACAAAACTATTTACTTTAGTTATTTGACAGTAATTAGCATCTAGTTCTACTTCCTTGCTCTGGCTCTGGGCGAGGGTGAGAGGTTGTCAGCCAAGGGTTTGTTGGGCACAGGAAAACAGAGATCGGTGTGGGTACATGAGACCCTCGGGGAGTACCACTGGTTGGTCCAGGAGCTTCGCCTCGCTGTTGGCCATTTCCAGACATATTTAGGGATGACTTGGGGACAGTTTGACAACCTGCTGTCTTTCTTCAGGCTGTATAACTCTGGGTATCCAAAGACCGCTACAACAAGGTTCTCCTCCATTGTTTACCAGCTGTAAACTTGTTGTGACCACCTCTCAAACCAATCAATTGGACAATGGGAAAAAAGATGAAGAAAAAGAGATGGCGTGGGGTGCTTTTCCACTCTGAGTGGAAGTTTTTTTTAACTCAAGGAGTTCAGAGCACTCTGGCAAAAATGCCAGGCAGTGAGAGCACAAAAAACACAAGCAAAAACCTTCATCCTCATTAAAAACAGTTACAAAAAGGCACCTCCAGCTGCTAAAGCACTTTCTGTGTGATCAAGGCCTAATACCGCAGTGTAGATATACTCTGTTGCCATGCATCCCAATTTACATACAAAATCATTAGCATTAAAACATACTTTAAGTAGGCTACCCAAAGTAGAAGTACTCATCAAACAGAATGGCCCATCCCAGAATAATGGATTTTTTTGTATAAATGTGTTCATTACTGTTGCAGCTGGTTAAAGTGGACCTAATTGTAATTACTTTGTATAGCTACTGCTGCTGGGTAGCTTAACCTAAAATAACACACCATAATTTATTATTTGGTCATATTTTGAACTGATGTCTGAATCTTAATAGTAAACACAGTTATCAAAGAAATATAATGAAATAAAAAGTACAATTTCTTCCCCCTAAATGTGGTGCAGTAGAGGTATTTAAATATACACAGGTAAACACAAATAAGACTTGTCCTAAACTTGTACTCTGCTTGACTTAATGTACTTCTTCACTGTGCACCTGTGCTTCTCTGTCTGAGTGAGACCTCAGCTCCACCTCAGCAGATAAGCTGACACTTCTCTTTGGAGCAGAGCCTGTACGGCCCCGAGCCAGTGCACGTGCGCGCGCGCACACACTTAGAGTGCTCCTCCATAAATAGACGCCGGAGCGCGAGAGACGACAACAAACAACAGTTTGACCGTCAAACTTCCGCCGTGAATTTGACCGTTTTGAGTTGTTTTCAATGGAGCGTGGAGAGTACGGAACCCCGGAGAAGAGACGCAGGAGACGCTGCCTGATTGTAACTGTGGTCGCTGTGCTGCTGCTCATTGTTATTATCGCCATCGTGTTGGGACTGACGCTCCGGAAAAACACTGACACATTTACGTCAACATTCACTGCAAGGTGTGAAAAGTTTGAAGGGTAAGTGTTTAACTTTTTTAAAGTTTTTGAACAGAACAGCGTGTAAAATATGATAAACTGGGCTTCCTCACAGGACTCTGACAATAATTAAATTAGGAATACAATTTAAGATATGTTAAATATTTGCTGCAGGAAGCATATACACTCAGCTGTCAGTTTATTAGGTACACTTTAGCTAAAACTAATGCAGTCTGTATGGTCATTTTGGAGGATGTAGTCTATGGTGTTGTATTGCTTACTGACAGGTGTTTCTATGTCCATCCGGTTTATAGCCTATAACCAAGGATAGGCTAAATAAAAACGCCTCTTTGTGTAACGCAATATGATCACACAGTTGAATCAACATCTTATTATGGCAGGACTGCTGTATGAGAGGTTTACTTACTAAACGAACAAATTATAATGCAGAAATAGTGATATCATGAATGGGAGGCAGAGTGTGTGCATGCCTGTTTGCAAGCTCCAGCTGTCATGACATGTACAGTACCAGTGATTTACATTTGTATCAAGCAAACAGGGAGGTGTGTAATAAAAATATGTGTTATCCGGAAAGACAGAAAGTAAATTAAATGCTAAAGTTGGAGTTCAGCCCAAAAGCACTGGTCTGCTTTGGACTCTGGTCAATGATTACATGACTGGTTTCCTTCTTGTGGTAGCCTGTCTGTCCTTGGCACATGCAGTGTAATGACAATGCAGTTTCTAACTTATCTGTAGTTTGTCTTACTTGCTGTAATTAAGCCAATAATAACTGGAAATATAAATTGGAAAACTGTGTAGGGTGCTTTTCAAACATGATGCAATTTTTTTTTTTTAGGTTTGCCTTTCTTACAAGTCTTAAAAATATGTAACTCCCTGCACCAATCTGGATGAGGCTGCTCCACAAGCTATAATAATATTTGTCTGTATTATGTACACAGTTAAGCCAATATTGACTGATTAACTGATACTGATACCGGACTAACTGTTTCTCAACAATCCAATCTCCAGAATAAAAGTTGGCACTGTACCTTCCTGCAAACCATAGCTATATTGCATCGTACATTATTGTGTAGTGGGTACTTTGAAACTTTATGTTTTCTTTTACATTTCAACAATGCTGTGATTAATGTGTGGTTATGTGTCAGTACAAAAAAACATTCATTATGGTTAGGAAAAGATTATATTGTGGCTTAAAACATCCATTGTTGTTGGCACAAATGTAACTGAAGGGCCCTAAAAAAAAAACTTGTTTGGTTGCACACACACCCCTGGACATGCACTGACAGGCCACTAAAATACACCCATGTTTGGTTGCACAAAAGCCATTTCAAATGCACTGAGGAGTTAATAAAAAAACACCCACATTTGGTTGCACCAACGTAAAAACTGAAAACGCAGCCGCATATCGCATGAAAACACCCATGTTGGGTTGTACAATAGTTGGAAATGCAGCCTGAGGTCCCTAAAATACATGCATGTTTGGTTTCACAAAAGCTGCTGCAAACGCAACTGTGGGTCATTCAAAACACCCATGTTTGGTTGCATAAAAGCGATCTAAAATGCACTGAAGAGTTACTAAAAACACCCATTTTTGTTTCACAAAAGTCTCTTGAAATAAACTGAGGAGTCAGTAAAGAACTCCCATGTTTGATTGCACAAAAGCCCCACAAAAGGCAACCACAGGTCACTAAAAAACACCCAAGTTTGGTGGCACAAAAGCTGCTAGAAATTCAAAAGCAGGTCACTTGAGAACACCCATGTTTGGTTGCCCCTCCACCTCCTGATGACAAAGTCAGCTCATACACTACTTCACTTCAGAAGCTTGATGTGATACATAGGAAAAGTATAAATGTGACATCTGTAGCGAACAGAAACGTACAATGCCAACATTTTCTTCTGACAACTGGGCTGTTCTCAACCATGACGCTATTTTCTTAGATAAATAATTTCTCTATGTTCATGTTTCAAACAAAATATAACAAGTATGTCAGTGAATATAGAAAACGAGCTGATTTACACACAGTCTGCATCATGTTTGTTCCTGAAGTTCAGCTTTTTCAGCAGAGTGAAGCTGATCACTAAGCAGCACTGTCACTTGTTTTTCAGATACGACTGTGAAAAGGTCTGGGGTGCATTTGAAGAAGCCTATGTAGGGCGGGACCCATGTAAAGTTCCACCAGGAGCCTATGACCCCTTCATTGCTGCAGCCCCTTTGAAACCTGCCTGCAACAGAGTAAACACCACTCATCACAACACTCTGTGCCTGTTTGCACATTATCCACTCTTTTATAATGCAGAATCATACATTTAACAGCTGTGTTTTGGGGTTTAGATGATGTTCTGGAGCAAAACAAAGGATGTGGTCCATGACTTTACTGAGAAGAAAGATTGTTTTATCACTGTGGAGGACACTCTGATGGGAAATGTGGTGGATGGTCTGACCTGGTGTGGGAAGGAGGGCAGCACTGGTAAGACTCTTCATGATAACCTCATAACTGGGATAAGTTAAACTCAGTTTAGTTTGTTATTCACCAAATAGATTAAAAGAGCATCAGCCTTTTAACTCTGAATGTGAAGTACCTTATTTTACATCTAAAAACATATTTTCAATGATTTGTGGTGACAGCTTTATTTAAGTAAAAGACCTTTCATGCCCTTTGGGTGTGTTGCGACCTAAGTACATGGGTATACATGCCGGTGTCAAATGCCAGAGGTGTTATTTGTGTTGCAGAGAGTATCATATTAAAGCATGCCAAGTCATGTCAAGCTTTTTTAAAGCCCATTATGAGTCTCAGAGACCTTGCACCGATTCCCAAACTGCCCCAAGCACCCATCAAACTTTTCACATGGAGTTTACATATCACAGAAAGAAATGATGGAATGTTATTATGCTTGTATTGAGAGCATAATAACCTTTGCAGTAACAGCTCAAGAAATGTCATCAGAAATCATCACCCAGGAGCTACCATCCCTTTGCTAAACGACATTAGCCTACAGAAAATTTGATGTAAGATTTAAAAAAAAAAATAAACGAACATATTACCTCTCAAGAGCATCTTTTAAATTCCTTCCCTTCTTCTGGAAAATTCACATTTGCTTTCTTGCAGAGAGTTAGATGAGAGATCAATACCAATCTCATGTCTGTATGCTAAATATTAAGCTACCATCAGCAGCCAGTTAGCTTAGCTCCGCACAGAGACTGGAAACAGGTAGCCTGGCTAGCTTGGCCAGGCAAAGTGACTTCTTGGAGTCTCTGTCTTAAAACCACAATGTGCTCTTTCTACTCCAGTTTTGGGCGGACTGAACAAACAAGACATAACTCATTAATTAGTGAGCTTTTGAGGTGCTGGTAGACATGTTAGCTTTGCTGTTAGCAGACTAGTTGTTAAATAACAACACACTTAATAATGAGTTGGTAATGTTACATAAACTGTTCCCAATGGTCAGCTCTGACAAGATAAAGTAAAAATGCTGTGCACAAGGTACAGCCGTGTAACTTTATTGATTATATAAATCTCCAAACACGTCAACGGGATTGGCCATGATCTAATGATAATTAAACATGGCAGGCTTTTTAGGGGTGGGACCAGGCTAGAAAGTCAATCAGTATTATATGTCAGCATATCGGATATCGGCAAAAAATCCAGTATCATGCATCCCTATTTTCAACCTTTCAACATTTGCTGCTCTCACTTATCTTTGCCAAGAGGTAAATCCAGTTGCAGCAGCCCCATGCAAGTCAGGTGTACACAGGGGTGTTTCTAGAATTTTAGGTTATCAGTTCTAGCCCGAACCTCTGTCAGGGAATCCTCCCCTGGTCCTTAAAAAATCTCCATTTGATATTTTTTTATGCACTTTATCTACATTCAAAGTACAAAAAAATCCCAAGTGTGAATCCATATTTATATTTTAATTGTGAATTAGAAAATAGTCAGTGAGCCACCTGGCACCCTATCTCGGGCCAGCTTTGGCCCATTGGTCAGAAATCCGTATGTAGATATAAACGGCTCATAATAAGGTGACAAAAACAACAATTCTCATTTTCAGGTGATAATACACTAATGAAAACTTAGTAAATAGTAATAAATATTATATACCATTTCTGCCAATAGATGCCCATAAATCCGACACACTGGACTTTTAACTTCCGATGCATCAGAGGTGTTATTATGATACTCATCCACAGGATATTGTAATCATATGTACACAGTGATGACCATTTAACGCGTGTTTCATTAACATATTCTTTTTATGCATTAAGTTTTAGTTGTTTGACTGTTCTGTTTAAGTTGTTTATCACTTATTTACTGTCTCAGTGTGAGTATGTGCTGTCCTGAGATTTCTGTTTTGTTCTATGTGAGCAGCTCAGCAAAGCAAATTCTTATCACTGAAATGGAGAAAGTTTTGACTCTGTGTGTGTTCTTCCAGAAACATTCACTACCGGCTGCCCAGGATGGACAGACTGTGAGAACAACACTGTTCGCTCGTTCTGGAACAGAGTGTCAACTGCGGTAAGTTCAGCAAGAATTCACTAGTTTTGCCAAAAACACGACAGTTGAGGGGTCAAGCAGCGGGTAAAATAACACACATGTGAAGCATAAGGTGAAATCTCTCCTGCGTATAAGTGATGATGATGGAGAGGAGAAGAGAAAAAGGTCAGTCAGCCTGGTTCTTCATCAATGAGGCTTTGTGTCGGTCTCCATGGAGCCACATTGTGTAGCTCTCTCCTGAGCGAACAGTGGCAACCCACACATTCAGAGGAGCCTTGTTTGGTTCTCTGCATTTTATTCTGCCAAGGAACTACCAACACATACTCACCATATTCACCAAACCAAAACAAAGCCACAGAGATTCAATGCAGTATTAATTACCGACATGCAGACACACAAAACAAACCATAAACAACATGTAGAACAAAGTGTTATGCTTAAAATTGAAGCCTGACACAGAATTAAAACACACAAGGTTAAAATAACATACAGATGCATGTTAGCTGCTGCTGGCATCCTTAAGAAAGTGCAGCATCTTCACAGTGGCTGTGATACAAAGGAATATCTGACCTCACGTCACCTTAGAAAGTTCAGGGAGTGCAGGGGGGACAATTTTTTTCTTCTCAGAAAGCTGTGTAGCAACACATGACAATCAGTCAATTAGTTATCGCAAGTTTAAGAATAACATGACTGTTATTATACATTTTATTTAAAAAAAAATAGCCTTTTGCTAACAATTATATTCAGGGTTTAATGACTTCTATATTTGATCCAATTGTTAAAAATGAAACTGCTTATGTGACACACAGTCAGCATTAAATAAAGCTGCATACACATGTGTTCCTAGTCAAACTGATATGTTTAAAAGAGGAACTGGAAAGCATTATGTCAGTGAGTTGGACTGCCTGACAGTGTGCTCTGGTGCACCTGTGACCACATCCAACAGGAACAACATTTACAGCTGCTGATAAGCTAACAGAGAATATTGTAGTGTTACAATACTTTAGAAGAATACATTAAAGAAAATTAAACATAGTGGCCAAGACTGCTGCACACAACCCCAACTACTGGCGTCAACTACACAACTGGGTGGTGAAGTCTCTGGAGGTGTTGTCATGCTTGGAATGTGTTGCTGTTCACCTAGTTACTAACGTTACGTTTCATGGGAAAGTCCTCTTAACAAGTTTTTCAAGGCAGTACATGTTTTGTTGCTTTGTCTACACCTAGATTTTTGAATAATTACCTGGAAACACTCGGTTGAGTCATAGCAAAGTAGAACAAGTGTTTTCACAGAATCATCACTGTAACCGCATTGAAAAGTGATTGCGAAAACAACAGAAACATTTTGACATTCCTGATAAAGACTCGGTATCTACTTCACAAAAAGAGATTCTGGATCCATCCCATATTTTAACAGTGTAACATCAACATTGACTGTTTTGCAGCTTTCAGTGTGTGTTTGTTCACCTGGTGAGATTAATTCTTCTAGGTGCAGCTGCTGCATTGACTTTTCTTCACGTCTGTAGTTTGCAGATGCTGCCTGTGGTGATGTCTCAGCAATGTTAAACGGCTCCATCGATACACCATTCCATCCTAAAAGGTGAGCTGCACTGCACATCTTTCGTGACTTAAGTGAGAAGCAGAGCAGAAGAAACCCTGGACAGGTCACTGGACTATCACAGGGTTGACACATAGAGACAGACAATTAGTCACCATTCACGCTCACATTCACACCTACAGCCCTACGGCCAGTTTAGAGTCAGTGTCTTTGGACTGTGAGAGGAAACTGGAGCACCCGCAGAAAACCCACACTGACACAGGGGCGAACTCCACACAGAAGAGCTCCAAACCATGAGTTTGAACCAGCAACCCTCTTGCTGTGAGGCAATAATGCCAACCAATGCGCCACCGTGCCGGTGTCAGGTAATGCATAGATTAACTCCTATGTATGGAAGCCCATTTCTGCCAGCATGATGAAAAAATGGTCCTGTATGTCTTTATGAAATGCTTGAAATAATAAGTTAATATCTTTAAATAATGAAAAACTTTCTCAAAATGATTTTGCAGTATTATCTCAAAATAATGACTTAGTATTGCAAAATAATGAGTTAATATCTTGAAAAAAATACTCAGTATCTAAAATTAATGAGAATCTTTTGCAACAAAATTACTTAGTATCTCAAAATAATTAGAAACTCTCAAAAATAATGACTTAATATCTCAAAATAATAAGAGACTTTCTCAAAATTAGTTAATATCTCAAAGTTATTATTTAGAATCTCAAAAAAAGAGAAACTTTCCCAAGATAACAAGTTAGTGTCTTGAAATAATGACTTGTTTGTGATACTAAGTTATTATTACAAGAAAGTTTCTCATTATAATGACTTACAGGATCTTTTTTTCATCACACTGGCAAAAATGGGTTCACATCATTTCTCTATTCATTGTTGAGTCAATAAAACATCAGAAATTGTACAAAATAAACACTATGATCTCCTAAAGCCAATGTTATGTCAGACCACCCCAAAAGCAAGCTCAGTCAACTATTAAGTCATTAGGAAGACTGTGAGGATACTGAGTGCACCAGACCAACTGCAATTCTAGCTCTGAAACTGTGTTTTAAATTCTGCGATTTGCTCTGTAAAAAATACAAAACATAATAAAAGTATTTTACATTCTGGGCTTATATTAGTTTTAGGTGACTGATGTTTTAGATGCTCATTTAGCAAACACCAACAACATAATTTTTTAATGCCTTCACATTCCTACATTATTGATTTTGTGGATTAAGTATATATTATGAACAATCTTTTAAATAATCATGTTTCTGCTTTGAGTTATTTAGATGTGCAGATTTCTTTGGCATTTTGTTCCCTGATCCCTTTCCGTTAACATTACTGCAACAAGAGAATACATCTGTGAGATGATCACACATCCTTTAGTAAACACTTTAGGAGTAATTTACAACAGAGTGCTGTGCACCGCAAAATACAAAGATAAAATGAAAGTGCAGTGTTAGTTCATGAATTGTCAGTGTGGTTGTATTTGGTGATTTCATGTTCAGTAATTAAGCCTTTAAATAAAATAAAATGTCAAATGTTGATAAGTATGTGCGAGAAGCATCTGTCGGATTTAATTCTTTTATATCACTTATTAAATCCTGTACATGAACTTTTTAGCTGAGTAAATTCTTCTCTTCTATTTGTGCTGTCAGTATTTTTGCAAGCATCGAGATGAAGAGGTTCCACCCCTCTACAGTGAAAAGCCTGAATGTTGTTCTGGTCACACAGAAGAGCACTGTGTAAGATTATCTCCTTATTTACAAGACTTCTGCCTCATTATTGTCCTTTTTTTGTTAACTGTGAATGTGTGAATGTTCTTCCATAGTGCTTAATTTTGGAGGTACAAAACACAAATATGCAGAAAGGCAAACTAATACTGAGAAAGTTCCTGAGAAAAATTACTGAGAAAGATCCTAAAGTTGCATTTTCTGCTTCCTCTTCAGGACAAACTGCACAAATGCATCTTTAAAGGATTTACAGAAAGAGCTGGCTGAAGGAATTAAATATAGCTGCAAGGAAGTGGCTGAGTAAGTACATCATGTCTGAGTAAGAGGACGTCATCATATGTATGTTTCTGTCTTATGTTGACTGCATGTTGTTTGTCTCCAACTGCAGAACTCAGATTCAGGAGTGCGGCTCCAACCCTGACATAGCCTGTGGGGCCTGCTGGTGAAGAACCAGTTCATACCAGATACAACAATATCCAGCTGTAAATAAATATTTCTCTACAATTCATTTCTGTAAAGTCTTTGTAAATTGAATAATGTTTTGTTATGCAGTCCATTCCTTTTGTACCCGTGGGCCAGTTTGACTTGATGTGAAATGTTTTTATATAAATGTCACTGATACATTTTTACAACATGACAATGCACCTTTGTGTTCTGTAGTGAAAAGGTTCTGGGTGTGACGGGGAAGCTTAGAGCTCAGTGCCATGTACTGTAGGATGAAATACCAGTGCTGCTATCTAATCACATTGAACAGACGATCTCACTCCCACCTGGTGGCAGAATTTGTAATGTTTTTAAATAAAATGTTGAAATATGAGGCTGTGAAATTGTCTGTGAATTCTATCGTGTGAAGATGATTGCCTGTGAAATCATTTTGATGTAACAAAAAAACACATCTACATGAATCACACAAAACCAGTACTGAGCCATGTATCAATATTATATTGATATCACGATGAGGCTAGATATCATCAAAATTTTTTGAATATGGTAATATCATAAGTGTTGTCTGATCTAGCTGTTCTATTATTTGCCTTTACTAACCTCGTCATTATATCCACTTTACTGGTGATTATTGATCAGAAATTGAATAGGGTATATATTTTGTAAAAGCACCAATAGTCAGCCCAACAGTATTATCACAATATTGATATTGAGGTATTTGGTAAAAAAATAATGTGATATTTATTATTTATTATTCTTTTTGTATCGTCCAGCCCTACCCAAAACAAAAAGATACAAACCTAAAAAAAAGAAGTAAATTAAACTTGAACTGATGAGTTGAATTTTGATCTTTGGTCGTTTTTGTTACATAACTGAATCAAATATTAAATATTTATTGACAAGATAAGAAACTCTCTTTACCAACTCTGGGAAGCCATATTGAAAAATGTTGAAAGAAACATCACATTATGTAACATTGTTTTCAAATTTAATTAATCATTGCGTTAAAAACTGATCAGTAACACTACTGTATGGAAATATTTTGCCTGTGTGAGGCTGACATGTAGGGTGGCCCTCTGTGTAGGGTCAGAGAGAGTTTCCTGCCTTTATAATCAATCAATCAATCAATTCAATCAATTTTATTTATAAAGCCCAATATCACAAATCACAATTTGCCTCACAGGGCTTTACAGCATACGACATCCCTCTGTCCTTAAGACCCTCACAGCGGATAAGGAAAAATTCCCCCAAAAAAACCCTGTAACGGGGGAAAAAAACGGTAGAAACCTCAGGAAGAGCAACTGAGGAGGGATCCCTCTTCCAGGACGGACAGACGTGCAATAGATGTCGTACAGAACAGATCAGCATAATAAATTAACAGTAATCCATATGACACAATGAGACAGAAAGAGAGACAGAGAGAGAGATGCAGGTAATGACAGTAGTTTACAACAACATTATTGAAAGTAATAATATTATAGTTATAGTTCTGGCTACTGTGGTACAATATGTTGAAAGTATATATTAATATCTGGCAGCATACATGTGTGACAATAGTCATATGTGTATAATAACAGTAGAAGTATGACTAATGACTAATGATGGCAGCAGGTGTCTTTGTCTGAATCCTGGTAGATGTGTGGTAGGACTGCTTGGTGTGGGCAGGTAAGGGAGATCCTCTGAGAAACATTGTTTGTATGGTTTGAGTTGAAATTTAATGAGGTTTCTCATATTTAGTTTTAGTAGAGCTGTGTCCTGACTGATCCTGGCTGATGAGGCTGTAGATTACTGCAATTGTTTGGTTGTCTGTAGGCCTATCATTGATAATATAATAATTTAATCCTTTAGGGAAATCAGCCCTTGTCTCCTCCTTGTCTGAGCCAGAGTAGTCTCATTAAGCAGAACCTCATCAGAGTGAGCAAGATAACCTAAACTGGTGTGGTAATGTAGGAGGGTCAGTCCCTCCAAAGTATTTTTGCCAGTTGATGGAAACAATTTTTACCATGTTTCTGTTATTGCAGACTAAGTGCCAGACTGCTGCTTTGCCTGAACCAGTCCATCTACGTCGTCTGGCCTAACTTGGCTACCTACTGAATTGGATTCAACCTAAGCTTTACTGTGAACTGTCCAGGACTTGTACATTGTTATTGTGACAATTAACTGCTACACTTTCTATACCTGTATGTAGTTATGATTTTTACACCATTCTGAGCTGAACCAACTGAGATTCACCCCTTGTTTTTGTTTTATTTTTTTCTAGGCAGTGGGACGAGCTGCGGGGAGTATACGTGGGATCCTCACCTTTGCATACAGTGTGGTAGGCCTAACGGTGGTGGTCACTTGAGTGTTTTGTAGATTTGCTTCTCCTTGCAGTGTGAGTTGCAGTGTAGATTGCAGTGTTAGTAATCACAGTGGGCTCACATGGTGGTAATTATTCGGGTCTGCAATTGAATCTCCCCGTGGTAAGACCCCTGCCTGTTTACTTGCTTCCAACAAATACTGCTGCTCTATTTTACATTAGAGTTTGTACTTTTTAGATAGTTATTGTTTTAGCTATTTATTATAGTTAAATAACAGTTGTTTGTCTTAAACTTACAGTTGGTTTTTCTCTTTTCTCAGGTTTCCAGCAATAAAAGTCTTATTTTTAAATAAACATTTTAATGGTGAACTGAATGCACGTCTCCTGCTCTCCTTGAACCTATTAAGTTGTATTGTGTCAACACGTATGAAGTTGGGGCCTATAAAGACCATTAGGTTTTTATAGACACTGCATTGATCTTAAATACTGTCTGGTCACACTTGCATAGGATATTTGTTTTAACATAACGTGGCTATATAACAGCCATATAAATCTTTATCACAATAAGTAGAGCCCTGTAACATCGAAAGTGAAACTAAACTGTTAATTGTTATTGTTAATTGTGAAAGTTTTATAGCACTTTTATAATACAAGCCCTTTAAACAGCTCCTCTGTTATCAGCAAAAAGGAAGTGCTCTCATCCACACAGTGAGTGTGAGATCTTCAATAACACATCTCAGCTTCTTCAAATCTTTGGGCCTTTATAATGTAACTTGAAGACAATAGCACTCATGGCAATACACTATGTACGATCTGTGGACTTAGAACAAATAAAATACAGACAGCAAAGCACTAGAGCCGGACGACAAATAGAGGACCAAGGGCAGGTAGAGTACAACAAGAAAAATTGGATCCTATACCTAATTGCTGCTGGCATCATAGTGATTGTTGTTGTGGCTTTATTGGGAGTGCTGCGCTGTCAAAGACAAAAATCCTCTGCACAAAAATCCTCTGCACAAAAATTCTCTGCTGAATTCATAAACAGATGTCAGAAGTGCACAGGGGGAAACCACGAGTAAGTACTTTGAACTTTGTGATGATTTTCATTCTGTCAGTCTTTGCACACCTTTTAAGTTTGGCATATGTAAATTGAATTAGACTTTTACCCTGAAACCTGTTTGTCTTTGACAAACTTTAGTTGACACCAATTATTTGCTTGTTTTAATAAGTGGGAAATGGGAAGGATGTTGTTCCTATGTCATATAATATTTATCTTTTATTTTTCAGAGTCTGTCAACATATATTTACTATCTTTGAACAAGCCTACGTAGGGAGGCCAGCATGTAATATTCCTGTGGAAGCCTATGACCCCTTAATGGCCAAAGTCCCCTTCGGATATCCATGTAACAAAGTAAATAGGCTCTTGCACATTATCTCTTCAGAGCAGACTTCACATCTTAGACATAATCAACAATGTGATATCCATTGTTTTTGGTTAGACAATGCTCTGGAGTGGAACAGAAGATCTGGTCCGCAATTACACACGAAAGAATAAAGATTGTTTCACCCTGGAAGACACTCTATTGGGACGCATCCTGGATAAAAAGAAATGGTGTGGAAGGAAAGGCAGTAATGGTAAGACTCATTAGATGCTGGACAACAAAAAAAATCATCAATGAATCTCAATTAGTTCTTAGTAAGTGATGATTATTGGTGTGTTTTCTTCATGTAAGTGTTTTAGTGTAGAAACATTCACTTGTCAGTGCCTACAATCCAAAGTCTGTAAAACTATCTTATCAACTACAACCCAATTACAACTAGGACTTCAGTTGCTCATCAGTCCGAGGTCTCCATAGCTGCATTTTGTGCTTCATAATGAGCCACACATTTTCAAATGGAGACTGGTCTGGACTGTAGGCGGCCAGTCTAGTACCCGCACTCTCTTACTATGAAGCCACCTTGTTGAAACATGTGCAGAATGTGTTTCATTGTTTCACTGGAATAAGCAGGAAAGTCCCTGAAAAAGACGTCTTCTGGATGGCAGCATATGTTGCTCCAAAACCTACATGTACCTTTCAGGATTCATGGTGCCTTCACCATAGTTGTATTTGGAGACCTGGATACAGCATTAGCAGCGGGGCCCCATTCATTCCTATGAAAGTTGCTTAGTGGTGGTTCAGTGCTTTGATAAAATGATCTAATCTTGCAGCTTCTCTAGACTTTCAAAATGTTATCAGGTGAGTTATTTCACGGGGATTGCCTGGCATGCAATGGCTGTGAGAACAACCCGGTTCGCTCATTCTGGAACAGAGCGTCTGCTGCAGTAAGTGCCCGATAAACAAGACATCACTAGTTTTGTCAATAAATACAACAGTTGTGGGATCAAGCTTGATTTCTGTTGTTGCTCTTTGTAAAGCGTCTTTGAGTGTCCTGAAAAGCACTATATAAATCTAATGTATTATTATTATTATTATTATTATTATTATTATTAGGAAGCGTTTTACTAAAAGGTCTCTCCTTAAAGTGCTCAAAGATGCCTAAATGTAACCTGCCAGGAGCAGGTATCATTCTGGGAAAATATAAAACATGTGAATGGAGAATTTAAAAAAAAAAAAACATTTATTATGAACATTTTCTTTGAAGACATTACTACAAGTGTTGCCCTATTACTCACTATGGTGGGCCTGTAGTCCAAATAAATTACATACATGTCTTTACATCCTGTCTTCATGTCTCTAGTTTGCAGAGCATGCCTGTGGAGAAGTCACAGTTATGCTAAATGGATCCAAAGAACAACCGTTTGATCCCAAAAGGTGAGCTCTACACTTCCCCTGTCAACATTACCATGAGCATTTAATGAACACATATGTATGACAAAAGAAAAATGTGTGTTACTGATTTAACACCACTGTTTTATTTGGATTTCAATATGCAGTGACTATTGTGTCTGACTTTTATATACATAGATGCTTTAATGACTCTTGTTGATGTCCTCAGTGACACCGTCAGTTTTTGGGTATACAATTGCATAACAGTAGAAGAGGGATCCAAATGTAGGTCTCTCATTTACTTTTAAAAAACACACAAAAATAGTTTGGTTCTAACCTCTTAACTTGTTTGCCATGTGGTAATTAATGACCTCATGACACACAACGCGTGAAGCCGATAAATATTTATTTTTTTTTTTTTTATTTTATTACAAAATGAACAATTTTCCTCTGAACTTTAATACTGCTTCATAAAAAAACACCATATTAATTTTTATTATTATTATTATTTTTTAAATATAATCCTACTAAATTCTGTTTTAATTGTTGCTGGTAGTACTTTTGCAAGGATCGAGATAAAGGCACTAAAACACCCAGAAGTGAAGCACCTGAATTTATTTCTGGTCACCGGACACAAGAAAATGTAAGATTTCGCTTTTGTTGTTTCGCATCATGTTTGTGCCACATTACTTTTCTTTTAATTATGATTTATTTGACTTAACTTTGCCATTTTTCTGTGCATGATATATTTATGTCACATTGTCCCTGTTCAGTACATTAAAAAAGGGATAAAAGGATGTCAAGTTCAGTGGTTGTTTTGATTTAGTATAAAAGAGTAGGACAAACAGGACAAATTAAAACTGAAGATTTCTTTTTCCCTTTGTGTCACCAATTTAGGTCAGATTGTACCTCACAGAGTTTACAGGACTTACAGGGCAAACTGGATCCAAATATTAGTTACACTTGCAGGGAAGTAATGAAGTAAGTCCAGCATGTGAGAGAGAAAGAGATTCCTGTCTGGAGAAACAGCACTGGTCATTTATTTAATCTCTTACAGAAACCTCTGTTTGTTTTTCCTAGTAAATATGACATGGAATGTTTGTTTTCATTTTTGTACTCAAATAGGTTTTATTCTGTTGTAGCTTTCTCAGCTCTGAATGTTTTTGTGACACAGTAGATTAACTTCTTGTAATTTTTTTTTTCATTGTAGATCCCAGATTGAGGAGTGTGCCCCCAGCACAAACGCAGCCTGTGGAGCCTGTTTTTCAAAGGTGTCAAAATAAGATGTCAAACATTACAAGACACAACAGAAAGTAGTTAAAATATCTGATTGAAGTTTGTCTTTCTTTTTACGTAATTAGTACAATCATTTTGTATTTACTGATAAAGTTTCTGATTTAGGGGAACATTTTCTGATTTATTTAAAAAAACAAAACAAAAAAAGACATTCAACTTCTGGTAATTTGGGCTGTAGGGTGGAAAATCAGGTCTGCTGTAAAATCATGTTTAACTGATGATCTCACTTCCTATTTGTTGGCCAAACCTGAAGTGTTTTAAAATAAAATGTTAAAAGGAAATGTGTTATATCTTTGTGTTGTAAAATCTAACGACTGTGTGAAGTGATCTTGAGATAACAGGTTTGGTGAGCAAAAGAACAGATCATACAGCTGTGTTACAGAATTGTTTGTCTGGTTTTATTTAAGCAAGAAAACAAACATGTACAGGGCATTCAGGAAGTATTTAGACACCTTCACCTTTTTCACATTTTGTGATGTTGCAGCCTTAAGTGTTAATTCTTTAAATTTGTTCTCATCAATCTCCACTCAATACACCATGATGACAAGGTGACAATTTTTTTTAGATATGACTGTCAGTGAGCAGCCATTTCCAGGTCTCTCCAGAGATAGGGTTTAAGTCAGGGCTCTGGCGCGGCTACTCCCACATCATCCCTAAACCACTCCTGCTTTCTCTGGGCTGTGTGCCAAGGGTCGCTGTCCTTCGGTCCAGTCTGAGGTCCTGAGTGATCTGCAGTAGGTTTTCATGAAGGATTTCTTTGTCCTGCAGTCTATTCAGCTTTCCCTCATTCCTGACCAGACCCCCAGTACCTGCTGCTGAAAAACACCACCACAGCATGATGCTGCCACACCCAGGCTTCACCGTTAGGGTGGCGTCAGGCAGGTGATGAGCGTTGCCTGGTTTCCTCGGGACAAGATGCTTATAGTAAATGGTAAATGTCATTACTTTTAGCTTTACATTTTTTAAAATTAAAATTGTTTCGCTATTTGTTTTAAGCTGTGTATGTTGTATGTACCTCGGCACCACTGAAAATGAGGGCTTCCCTCAATTTTGTGTTGCGAAGTTTTAAATAAAATAAATAAATGAATAAAACAATCTGTAACCCAGTGAAAACATGGACAAGATCCTTTGTTTTTTGACTCCAGAGCATTGTCTTGCCCCAAAAAGTTGATATTACATTGTTAAATGTATAAAGAGCTTAACAGGATACTTCATATGCAAAATGACCATTTGTTCATCAATTACTCACTCCTATATGTTGAATTGGTGAAGAAAACTGTATTTTTCTCACATGGCTCTACTTTATCTGAATCTGAATCTAAAAAAGGGGAACACTCTTCATGAACTGAAGTAAACTTTGACCACGTTTAACAACAGCAGAACTTTATGAAACTATTTGTTTACTCAACTCATCCAGTATAATCCAAGAGTAATTTATCAAGTCATATGCTTGGTGTGGACTAAATAAATGCCCAGGCAAGCTCAGGGCGTGCTATTAGTAGAAAGATGAGTTTAATATTGTTTTTGTTTTTTGTTTTTTTAAAGTGAAAATGAATGTATTAGAAAAAACTGAGCATACAACTATCCATCCATCCATCCATCCATCCATCCATCCATCCATCCATCTATATATGAGGTGTTGAACATATAGACCAGAGGCCGGAACTGGCCCGCCAAAGGGTCCAATACAGCCCTCTACATGACTTTGCACACCTAATGTTAATGCAGATGCGAAGGCTGAGAGGTTTCAGCAGCAATTTAAACAGTGAGCAGATAAAATACTGCCTCAGAGATTTTTCCACCCCAACCAGAATACAGTTTTCTGAAATATCAGTAAGTACTTTCCATGGTCATATTTAAAGATATTGAACATTGTGAAAAAATATTGTCAATAAGCAGCTTACATACAAAAAAAAAAATCTGTATCAGACTTCTTTCTTGGAACAATATGGGTGGAACCCTGCTGCGAAGGCACAGCCAAAACGTTAAAGTTGTAAATGGTTTGTCAGGCCGGGGATGACTTAACCTGCTTCTCCATCAGCTTCCACTTTAGTGGGATTATGAAAAGCTATGGAAAAAATGCACATGTAATGAAAGTGAGTAGTAGACTGACAGAATGTGGAAAAAACTGTGACATACTGTTGAATTTGCACATATTTTTCTTAGGATATCGAGGGCTGTTCATCATTTGTTTTGTAAATGGATGAAGATTTTCAGAATGTACTTGGACTTCTTTACACTAAAAAAAGGGAACAATTTGAACGTTGCTATTTATAGGTTCAGAGTGAGCTATCAGGCTATTAATAGCAAAGCCTTATTAGCACAACCTTTGACCACTGGCCAGTGATAAGCACTCTGACATAAACAACTCTGTGAGACCAAAACTTCGTCGGAGCTTTGATTTTATAGACGAGGATTTGAAATGAAACGTGTCGTGGCCGTTGGTGTTGGAGTCCTTGGGGTCGGAGTGGTGGTGTCTCTACTGGTGCTGTTTATTCCTCAAACAGTCCAGTTCAGGAAAACATTCACGAGGAGGTGTGAGGAGTTCCCGCAGCACAACCACAGGTCAGACTCTCTGTACTGATAATAAAAGTTGTTTCCCTTTGAATAAACGTTCGTATTGTGAACAGAACATTATTTGTGCAATTACGAGAAACAATAGGTACATGTGTCCTCAATAAAGTACTAAGTGCTTGTATTTGTTTTTCAGCTGTAAAGATACACTGGATACCTTTGAAGGAGCCTATGTCGATAAGGAGCCATTTAGCTTTTCTGAGCAAAACTATGATCCGCTCTTTGAAAAGATCTCCTTCACACATGCAAGCAACAAAGTAAACCTCCATGATCACATGACTGTCTGTGTCACTCATTAATCAAAGCATATTTCCTCTTCGATCCACAATGCAGAAGTACTGGTAATGATGTAATATCAACTTTTTTTTGGGTAAGACGATGCTCTGGAGCGACACCAAAGCGCTGGTCCATGACTTCACAAAGAAGCGAGATTGTTTTATCACCCTGGAGGACACTCTGTTGGGATTTGTAATGGATGGTCAGAAGTGGTGTGGACTGAAAGGCAACAAGGGTAAGATCTGTCTGGAGCTGATTCAGTAAACTGTATGGCTTATCAACTCACAGGCATAAAATACAGCAAAATACAGGAATCACACTTTCAACACAAGGTCAGCAGCAGTCATTTAACCACATTTGTAACTTAATAGTTTATGTTTGCTTTATATCCTTCTGAAAAATGGGAATATATTGTGATATCAGTCACAGTTAGATGAATGAAGTGTTTGTGAAGCCCCAAGTCTGAAAACTCTCACACAGAAGTAGACTGAAGCTTCAACGGTAACATTTATAAACATGTTCTCTGTGTTCTTTCTAGAAACATTTTCTGTGTTCTGTGAACTCGTGAAGAACAACAATCCTGTTATTTCATTCTGGAAAAATGCCTCTGCTAGGGTAAGTGCCCAACAGGAAATCACTAGTTTCACCATAGTGTCAGGAACAATCCCTGTGCAATATCTTAACACTAACATCCACTGCAACTGTATATTAAGTCCCAATGAGGCGGCATGGTGGGGGGAGGCCTTCTGTGCAGAGTTTGCATGTTCTCCCTCTGTCAGCGTGGGTTTTCTCCAGGTACTCCAGCTTCCTCCCGCAGTCCAAAAACATGCAGGTTAATTGGTGACTCTAAATTGCCCGTAGGTGTGAATGTGAGTGTGAATGGTTGTCTGTCTCTATGTGTCAGACCTGTGATAGTCTGGTGACCTGTCCAGGGTGTACCCTGCCTCTATGCCCAGTGTCAGCTGGGATAGGCTCCAGCCCCCCTGTGACCCCTAACAGGATAAGTGGTTATGGAGAATGAATGAAGTCCCAATAAGATCAACAATTTCTTTTACAATTGAGACCTGGAGTTTCATTTATAAACACAAAACGAAACCTGAAAGAGGTGTTCATCAATTCCCACGCAAAGGTGTAATCTATAAAAACAGACTTGATTGGGGGAAACTTCTTACAAACATTTTGGAGACAGGAAATAGGCAACACAGATGGTGAGGTGAATATTTTTGCTGCACGCCCTTTTTGGCTTTTGTCCGTATCTATCTGTCTGAAAGTACAGTAAAGGTGGACCTGTTTAAACATAAACATAAGTGGAGAAACATATTTCCTTAAGACTTAACCATCATATTCTTATGTCTGTAGTTTGCAGCATATGCCAGTGGTGAAGTAACAGCAATGCTGAATGGTGGCCTGAAAACACCATACAATCCTAACAGGTAGACAGCACGACACTGTGTTTTATTAATAGCTTTATAAAACTTTAATGATGACAAGAAAATTGCATAACGTTTCTCTAACATTATGTTGTATACAACACTTTGACTGTGACGCTAACAATGTGAGGAATCAACACAAACCTTTTGCACAGATTAAGCACAGATTATTGTAGTCAAAAAGTATATGAACAGTGTTATTGTTTTGCTTCTGTACTTCAGCACACTGGATTTTAAATAAAACAGTGGGGTTACAGAGGTACAGTATTTTCACTGTGTGTTAGTGTGTTGTAGCGTGATGTTTGGTACCTTATCTTCCACAAATAGGCCTTTGAAGAATTTAAGTAGCCTAAATTTAGAATATGGCACTCTTAAATACTTGATACTGATTGGTCAATCAACAAAATTCTGCGGTGTTTATTTCTTGAGGTATCACCGCTGCTCTGCTGCTCCGTTGCTAGGGACGCCATAGCAACGGCTTTAGACTGAGGAGCATCAAAATCAGTTAACGTTAGTCCACACAGGCCAAATAGGATCGGAGTGGCAAAATGCAGCATTTTCAGGACATCACTTTTAACATTTTTGGAGAGGACAAAACGCTTGGATACAGAGTACAGACACATTTCTTTTTGCGAATTTTGAATCAATAAAACGTGCTTTAATCATTATTTTGTGTCACATCACTGAATGTTTTAGTAGTAAGCCATGTTCTAAGCGGGATAATGTATAGTGAGCCGGTGACTGTTGACATCCTATATGAGTCCTTTCTCTATGCCAAAAACTACTCAGGCTTTTACTTTCATTTGAACGCTGCTTTATGTAAGAACTCCAATGAAGTTGATCTGTAATCCTAACATTCCTCTCTTGTTTTTGCTCTTAGTATTTTTGCAAGCATTGAGGTAAAGAGACTCTTCTACCCAAAGGTGACACGCCTCACTATTGTTCTGCTCACTGACAAGGAAAATGTGTAAGATTTTCTCAGCCGGTTTTAGCCACACTGCTTTTTGGACGGATTATATTTCTATGTGGTTGTCACTTTTGTGTAAACAAGGAATAAAAGAATAAATTATTCTGCAGTGGTTCTTTAACAATACAAACTGGGAAACATTAACAATAAAACAATTGTTTGTCGTATCCTCTCTACATTTCTTTTGTCAGGAAAAAGTGCAATGAAAATGAATCTCTACAGAATCTAAAGAACGAGCTGGATCAAAAAGGAATTCTTTATAGTTGCAAGGAGGTGACTCGGTAAGTTCAGTCTTTTTCAATCACACAAATAATGAGTGACATTGCACCATGCTACTGTTGTCACAAAACAGTCACCTCTACATGTATGTTTGCTTCTTCACGCAGTAAACTTCATGTTATTTTATTTCACCGTAGATCTCACATCCGGAAGTGCATTAAAGAAAACAATGCCTGCGGAGCCTGCTGGTGAAGGTGTCTAAACGAAAATTGAGTTTTAACTTCTTTTCAGTCCTTGTAAACTCATTGGAGTGCTATTAAATATTTGGCAGATTAAATTCCTTCCTACACATTGACCTGTTTGAACTATAACATCTAATGTCTTTTTAATATAAATTGATTTATAAAGTACATTTAACCTATGTCTATGTGACTTGACTTGTATGAAAAAGTTTTGGTTTTTACTCTTTCTTTGTTCTTGTTTTTTGTTTCTTCTGCTATCAGATTATGTTCAACTCATGATCTAACTTCTTATTTTGTGGCAAAACCTGAAATATGTAATAAAATGTCAAAATATAACATGAAGTTATCTTTGTGCTGTAAAACGTACAACCCCAATTCCAAAAAAGTCCTTTTTTAACCTATATTCAGTTGCATATAGGAATAACCTTTCCTTTTAACAAAAATGAGGACACTCCTTGTTGAAGTTTTGAAGTGAAATTCTTTCCCATTCTTTCTTGATACATGACTTCAATCACTACACAGCCTGGTGTCTCCACTGCTGTATTTTACGCTTCATAATGCACCACACATTTTTAATGGGAGAGCTCTGAACTGCAGTCAGGTCAGTGTTGCACCCGCACTCTTTTACTATGAAGCCACACTGTCGTCACACGTGCAGAATGTGTCTCATTGTCTTGCTGGAATAAGCAGGGATGTCCCTGAAAGAGGTGTCGTCTGGATGGCAGCATATGTTGCTCCAAAACATGTATGGAGCCTTCAAAGATATGCAAGTTACCCATGATACCATGGGCACTAACACACCTCCATACCATCACAGATGCTGGCTTTTGACCTCTGTGCTGGTAACAATCTGGATGGTCCTGTTCTTATTTAGCCTGGAGGACATGACGTCCATGATGGACTCGTAAGACCACAGCACACTTTCCCCTTTGTGTCAGTCCATCTCACATGAGCTTCTAGAAGTCTGTGGCATGTCTCAATGTTGTTGATATGTGGCTTTTACTTTGCATGTTAGAGTAGTTTGTATCTGTGGATGCAGCAACAAACTGTGTTTAACAAAATATTTCCAGTCCCATGTAGGCCTATTTTACTCCTTTACATAATCATGCTGGTTTTAAATGTAGGGTCACAGCCAAAGTGACCATCCTTGCTTGTGAATGACTGAGCCTTTTGACTGAATGACTGAACACTTAAGTCTGTTACAAGTTAACCTGTTTTCCTACAGGTGTTGCAGGAAACCATGACTTAGTCATACCATCAATTAGAAAAACAAAAAAATATTCGGCCACAGGGGGAGCCACAACGATCGGTCGCATTTTAGTCATTTTTAAGCATTTTTCTGTTGTTATAGCGCCCCCATTTTGTTTGATCGGTTCAATAATGGAGGGGTCCCCTATGTGTGGTCATATGCCTACAAAGTTGCGCTGGGTGATCGGTGAAACCCTTGAGATGTTATATGTTGTTCCAGCTATCAGGCTCCTCTCCTGTGGAATCATCTTCCTGTTACGGTCCGGGAGGCAGACACCGTCTCCACATTTAAGACTAGACTTAAGACTTTCCTCTTTGATAAAGCTTATAGTTAGGGCTGGCTCAGGCTTGCCCTGTACCAGCCCCTAGTTAGGCTGACTTAGGCCTAGTCTGCCGGAGGATCCCCCTATAATACACCGGGCACCTTCTCTCTCTCTCTCTCTCTCTCTTGGATGGATAGCATGACGTGTGTGGTTGTGCTGCTGCCGTGGTCCTGCCAGATGCCTCCTGCTGCTGCTGTCATCATTAGTCATTAGTCATACTTCTACTGTTATTATACACATATGATTATCTGTCCGTCCTGGAAGAGGGATCCCTCTTCAGTTGCTCTTCAAATTGTGATTTGTGATATTGGGCTTTATAAATAAAATTGACTGATTGATTGATTGACACCTTTATGTGATGAGCCACGCCCTCCGCAATATTCATTGCCTTATAGAAGCTCAGTTTTAGTAAGTTTTCCAACTTTTGCCAAGAGGGAACTTTAGATATTGGTCCCTAGATTATGTTCACCCAGTTTCATGCAGATCGGTCAAACTTCCTAGGAAGAGATCGATTTTAAGTGTTTTTCAAAAAATTCAAAATGACGGAAAATTTATATAACCGGAAGTTATGGGTTCTTGAGGCAAATTTGTTCCTCGTGAGGAGAGGCATCTCTGTGCAAAGTTTCATGTCTCTACGACACATGGGGCATGAGATATGCACATTCAAAGTTTGCAATTTCAATTAGTTGCTATAGCGCCCCACTTTGGCCAATTGATGTAATATTGCTTCATTCGCATCCTCCCATGACCCTCTACCACTGTGCCAAATTTCACATGGATTGACCAAGTCAGTGAGGAGAAAAACGTGGAACAGGCACACAGACACACACACAGACAGAGTTTTCGTCATTACATAGTAAGATGTTACTGATTTTACAGATACCTTTAGTAAGTATTCTGTGCTGGCAGTGAACAGAACAGTTTGCAAGTAGCCTACATTCAGTAAGAACATGTGAAGGTATAAAAATACCTGAGAGTGTATGAATGCACATAGGCATGAGAAGTGTTGCCCTATTAGTACACTAAGACAAATTGTGGAAATCTTCCTTAGTGCTTTATCTTTTCTCTTCAGAAAGCTGTGGTGGACCTGTACTCCTAAAATAGTGTGTGAATGTCTTTACCATCATGTCTCATTGACTCATTACTGAGAAGTCTCAGTAATAAATGGATTCAAAGAAAAAAAAGTTTGACCCTAAAATGTGAGCACTACATTTGCCCTGTCATATTATTTCTCATAGCCAAGCACTCTGACAGTGTCACTGAGGACGTCAAGCAACAATTTAGTTTGCCATAGACGTGACTGTTCCGTTTGTTCAGTCTGTTTACTTCACAAGTGTCCTTCCTCAGTCCTTATATGTGTCCTGGTCACCAACAGATCAGACAGAAGAGCAGGTTCCGGGATAATGATTGACCTACCATCGGATAACAACAGTGAAATGTTTGTACTCATTTAAAATAAAACCATAAAGTTCAACTAATGGTCTTCAACTTTTAGGGACCTCACCGATGGTTTTGCATGTTTCTACCCATTAACTACTGCTGCTAACATGTTTGCATGAGAGGACGTGTATGTATGTTTCTGTCCTCACATGCACACTGAATGCACGTTATAGTCTCTCTGCAGAGCTCAGATCCAAGAGTGCAGTTCCAATCCAGAACAAATTATCTATATGAAGTATGCAATTGAAGACATTTCTGATTTGGTGATCACAGTAAGTAGAGCTCATAACATCAAAGGTGTAATAATATTTTTATAATAATAACTTAGTAATAACTTTTATAACACTATGATGGCTACTCCATGACCTTTGAACAGCTCTCAATTTATAGAAGCAATAAGCTGCACCCACACAGGAAGTGTGAGATCTTCAAAAACACCTCTCAACCTTTTTTCAGAGCACAATTCACAGACAGATGTGAGACGACCATCTTTCATCGGCCAAGACAAGCCAGTAAGACTTTGTACTTTTTGAAGTTTTTTATTCTGTCAGTCTCTCACTTAGGAACTATTTTAACTTGGCATATTTAAGTACGTTTCATTTTACCTGGCTGAAGAATCTTTGCTGATGTGTGTGCTCATCTTTTGTGTGCTTGATAATCTTTGAAAATAAGCTGCTGCTCGAACCAACACAGTGAGGGTGAGCTCTGCAATAACAACTCTCAACCTCCTTGAACCTTTAGGACTTTTAAAAGGTGGATGAAGAGCATAGCACTGACAAGACATGGTGGTCGCTCTTATAGCTGTAATCGTTGGTGTCACAGTGGGGTATATTGGGAAGCAAAAAGTGCTTCAAAATGCCTAAACATGACTATAAAAATGTTCATTTTATAACACCATGATGGCTACTCCATAACCTTTGAACTCTAAATTTATAGCAACAATAAGCTGCTGCTAGCACCCACACAGGAAGTATGAGACCTTCAAAAACACCTCTCAACCTTCTTTCAGAGCACAATTCACAGACAGATGTAAGACGATCATCGTGGCCAAGACAAGCGAGTAAGACTTTGTACTTTTTCAAGTTTTTTATTGTGTCAGTCTCTCACTTAGGAACTATTTTAACTATCCCAAGAATCTTTCCTGATATGTGTGCTCATTTTTTGTGTGCTTGATAATCTTTGAATGGCAATAACTTGTTGGTTTTAATAAATAAGAAATGGGAGGAATATCAGACTGCACCTTTAGTCTTAAACCTTGACAGTATAAATCTGATTCACATTTCGCATAATATGTACTTTTATTTATTTTTGAGAAGAATTCTTGCTTCAGCCTTTGTTGTGGTCAGCCTTTGCCCCTTCAATCACCCACCTGAAAAAGTAAGCACTGATCATCACAAGCTCTGCACATTATCCAATCAAAGCAGACCTCTTTTATAATGTAGAATAATACATTGTGTCACGTGATATTACTGTAACTGGTTTTGGTTAGACGGTGCTCTGGAGCAAGAAGGAAAAGCATGCCGAAAGGTATGGTATATTCAAACGTCGTTTCACTCTGGAAAGCACTCCGGTGGGACGCTTTCTGTAGGGACTGCCCAAGTTAATATCGAAAGACGGCGAAGGTAAGATACTTCAGACAGTGGTCAAAAGTAAAACTTACCACTGGGTCCCAAAGTTTTGTTTTTAATTTAGTATGTTTAGTATGTTTAGTATATGTAACAGAGCGGCAAGACTCATTCAACCATATCTATTTTTAAAATATATAAAAATAGAGTACTATGGTGATGAACTAAAGACAAGTGATTGTTAATGCTATACTGTTTAATGTAAAATATAAAATTTAATGAAAATGAAAAAATAAAAGCAGCAAGACAAATGTGCAGATGACAAACAGTATCTTTCTTCCTACTGAATGATACAGCTAGAAATAATAAGCATGGGCATAATTTGTGTATTAAAAATTTGAAAATTGATTTTTCACCACTTAAGCAAAATGCCAAGCACTTATACTGACTTTAACATATGCACACAGGATTGCTCGTAGTGATATGACTTTGAATATTGTTACATCGAAACAGGTTAAATCTTTCAAAGTGGGAAAATAACATTTGTACCCATCTTCTCTGTGTTTGTGTGTTTTATTATGGAAAAATACACTTGTCTGGGCCCAGAACTTCCTGACGATATCAAACAAGTTGTTCGTTTGCTCTGGTCCATTGCCTCCAAAAGGGTAAGTGCCTGACCACTCCACCTGTAGTGCTTGATATTTACCCTTCCAAAATATGTAGCATTAGACAGGATGCATTGATTTACCAGAACAGCAGT